TGGTTTTGTGTTTTTCCATGATACAAGGAAACATGGTATGAAACCAAATTTCGTCCGCCACGCGCATGTACAATTGGCGTCTTCGAAATGTGAACGATTTTTTGTTGCCATGGATTTTTTTCATAAAATTTATTCGTTCATTACTGGCTTCGGCCAGTGGTGTTACATATAGAAGGGAGAATACTAAGAATAAGAACAATATCCTAAATCGTTCTATTTTTTTAATAATATTTTAACAAACAATAATATAAACAATATAACAAATAAATTAACTTTAATTTGGTTTTATACAACAATATAAATTAACAAGTAGGTAAATACACAATAAAAATAACATAACTAAATTAACATATTGCTCAAGAAAATTGGTTTTTAAGTGAAATAGCTGCAGATTTAAATGTCAGTAAAAGCTGCATATTTTATATCAAAAAACGTTGGCAATAACAACAAAGATTGAGAAGACCTATCAGGCAAGGTGTAGGTAAAATCTCCAACGAAAATGAAGACAATGCTCTTGTCGCACTTATTAGGCAAAATCCCTTCAATAGCGCATTTAAGGCCCGAGAAGATACACAATTTCCAAGATCACTTCGAACAGCTCAAAAAAGATTGAAACAAGCTGGCTTAAAAAACTGTGCTGCTAAGCTATTTTAATACTTAATTGCAGAGCCATTAGCTGCCACAACCCTTTGCAACCTTCTTGGCATGGACATTATTAGCTCACGCATGTCGTATGACTCAACAAGCTCATCCCAAGAATTTTCAACAGCACTCCATAGTTCATCTCGGTTTGCTGGCCTAAAGTCCCGTTGATATATATTTTTAACTATAAAACCCCACACGTTAAGTCAGGGCTTCTAGCTGACCATGGCAAAACAGTTATGTGGTTGTTGTTTACCCACTCTGTAACCACGCGAGCTGTGTGAACTGGTGCATTGTCCTGTAATGTATAATATTTATTAGAATCGTTTTTGAATACTATACAGTTTTCTTACATGTTGGAATATAAAGTTTTCTGGAAACACATGTCTAACTGAAGGTAGCATACCGTTGTCCAAAATCCTCGTATAGTGCTCAGCCGTTAATCTACCATTAATTTCCCAACACACTCCCGGACCATGGATGCTTATCCACGCCCAAACATTTATGGAAAAGCGTCCACTATTTGAGGTTCTTAATGTATAGTTCTCCTCAAATCTTGCCTTTCTTGGACGATATACACGCAGCCTTCCATTATTGCAAGATTGGAACGTTTTTTCATCCGAAAATATAACATTATTCCAAAAATCGTCTCCATAATTTAAATAGTCATTGGCGAACTGGACTCTCCTGCGCTTATTTTCGTCAGTTAAAAAAACCTTATGAGCAGCAGCACAGTTTTTTAAACTAGCTTGTTTCAATCTTTTTTAAGCTGTTCGAAGAGATCCTGGAAATTGTGTATCTTCTCGGGCCTTAACTGCGCTATTGAAAGGATTTTGCCTAATATGTGCGACAAGAGCATTGTCTTCATTTTCGTTGGAGATTTTTCCTACACCTTGCCTGATAGGTCTTCTTAATCTTTGTTGTTCTTGCCAATGTTTTTTGATAAAAAATATGCAGCTTTTACTGACATTTAAATCTGCAGCTACTTCACTTAAAGACCAATTTTCTTCTAATTTGGCTATTGCCCTGGACCTCTGAGCCTCGGTTAAGTGGGGTGGCATTTTTAATATTGCAATTGACAACTATTATCAAATTTGACAACTACCGACGACACTGATGCAAAGCCCATATTACACGATTAAATTTTGCCGTTCACATTTCGGGGACGTCACATTCGTCAATCTAAACTAGATATTTCACTTGCTGATGCATTATTTAATGACATTATTGTGTTTAATTAGTAATTATTATTAGATTTAATGTTATTATTATTTTATAAGCAGAGAGTATTATCATTATATTTATATATAAATATATTTAGAAAGGTACCGACATAAAATACAATAAATTTGAAAATGGTTAGTTTGGAACTTATTCTGAATTTCGTATTCAAGACTGTAATATGTAGTTAACAATTAAGGGCCGGTTTTTCAATTGTTGGTTAAGTTTATCTTACAGTTAACTTTCTTTAACCATAGTATCTAAGGAAATTAACACTAAAGATAAACTTAACCAACGATTGAAAAACCGGCCCTTAGATTATAAGGTTATATAAAAAAATTAAATATTTTTTTAAAATTCATTTTTTGTGCTTTAAAAACCAGATTTTGGAAAAATATACAGGGTGTTCCAAATAAAACTTGTACCCTCCCAACCGTTTTAACGGGTGAATGTGGACAAAATTTTTTGGACACGTGAATTTTATTTCTAGGTGGACAAATTTTAATGTACTATTCACGCCCCTACACGCTCTACCCCTGCCGTCGCCAAAATCATAAATTGGACGGGGGTTGAGTGACATATCTTTTTAAAGGTCTTTTAATTCTTAAAATAATGTAAATATAAATAAATAAATAAGATTCTGTAATTTTTTCAGTGGTTTTAAGAAAAAATGTCATTTTGACCGTCGTCGTCATTTTGTCAAAAAATTTAGCTGCATATTTGTAATGTATTGTTCTGTAACAATGCATTTTTTAGAGATTTTATGCGTATCTCGAAATCTAGAGCTAGACCAGAAAAACTACTTTAAAAAAAGAGGAAATTCTTGTAAACTAGTGTGATTATTCTTTTGTAATTTTGGTCTTATATTAACTAGCAATGGCGTGACCATCTACGCAGTCACTAATAATTCCAATAATAATGTTTTCCTGTTAATAAACATATTATAGGTAAATTACTTACTTAATAAAATATTAAATAATCTTATTCTAAATATATGTACAAGGTGGCCATCCAAAACAGTCCAGCAAGGTTTACAGCTTTGTATGTGAAAATAAAAAATATCTTTGTATCCATGTACTTTTGTTTTCAGGTGGACATATTTACACATTCATTTCATCAATGTTACTTCAACCCCTCAGCGGGGGCGGCATTCACCCTTATTTTTTCAAATGGGAAGGGGTATGTTGTGATACATCTTTTAAAAGGGCATTACATTTTCATTAAAATGGCGCTTCGTTTTTTAAATTTTTGCTGCGGATTGCCAAGTAATTTAATTTAATTTAATTGATTAGTTTACTGAAATCCAAAATATATGCCACCCAGCCTGAATCCTTGAAGATTTACGGAACCGCATTACTAATAAATGCCAACACAATGTTGAAAATGTCCGCCGTTTACCTTTATACAATTGTACAGCAACTGTTCAAAGTGTTCCCAGAAATTGTGAAGAATATAGGGTGTAATTTGTAATGATGCGGTTCTGTAAATCTTCGAAGGATTCAGGCTGAGTGGCATACATTTTGTATTTCAGATGTCCCCACAAAAAGAAATCAAGGGGAGATAATCCCGGTGATCTCGCGGGCTATTCTCCCAGGTAATGCATAATGTGGAGGAGCCCCGTTTTGCTAAAATATCGGATTTATTTTATGGTAACGTTGGTCGTTTTCCATAATTTTGATAAGCGCTGGGTTGACGGCATTCTCCAACAAGTCTAAGTAATTAGGTCCATTTCAATTTCCCGGTAAGGAAAATGGCCCAATTATGTGATCACCAAAAATACCAGCCCAAACGTTTAATTTCTGAGAATGTTGAGTATGAACCTAATGGAACCTTCTTGGATATGTCGGATCAATAACGACAATTATGACGATTGACAATGCCATTGAGAAAAAATTAATTATTTCGGAAATTATTTCACAAAATTGTAAACGGAGGTCATTATCATCTTCATGCAATTCTTGAAGAAGTCGAATTTTATATGGGTGCCATTTATTATATTTCAAAATTCTCTGTACGTTGGCCCGCGAAACTTCAGTTACATCAGATAGTTTTCTGGTACTTAATGTAGGGTCTAAAGTAATTTCACCTAGAACATCTACTTCTACTGCCTCATTTCGCACCGGATATTTAATATCTCGTTTTTTATTTGCCACCGAACCAGTTTTTCGGTATTTTGCTAATAATTCTAGGATGTAACCATGATGTACGTGTTTATTTGCATGCCTCTTATTTTCTGAATCAATAAAAAAACAAAGTTTCCGTTACTGTTGCACATTGATTGTTTATAAAATACAATTCAATAATTTCCACTCTCACCGCAATAGGATAAACCATTTTTTATCGAATCAAAAGAAATAACGAACAATCCACATCAACTACTTTACTGAAAGTAAAGTCGAATTGTCGACTGATATTTGTTAGTTTAAAAACAATTTTTTCAACGAATTTTTTGCTTTAGGAAATTTAAAAAACGAAGAGCCATTTTAAAGAAAATGTAATGCCCTTTTAAAAGATGTGAATGCTGCCCCCTCTTAAAGGTTGAAGTAACAGTAAAGAAATTAATGTGTAAATATGTCCCCCTGAAAACAAAAGTATACGGGTATAAATTTTTTTTTTAATTTTCACATACAAAGCCGTTTGCTGGACTGTTTTCAATGGATCACCCTGTATATGTAATGTACCTACATTCTACAGAAGAAAGTGGGTAGTACAATAAATCAGGGTGCTTTTCACGAACCTAAAGACCTACCCCTCTGGATTCCCAGGAATATCATTTATAAGCTGCCAAACCAGTAGATGTGAAGCTCCATCACTTGGTTCATTATCATCCTCTGCAAATTGTATTGTGTCAAACAGTCCATATTGACAAAACAATTACAAAACAGTGTGTATTTACATTGAACATGTTAGTAAACTATAATACTGGCACCCGATTTTTTAAGATAGATATACCACATGTTGTTATACACAGAAGTATTTTACACAGAAAATTATCATGCATATGTCCTTTTACGGTTTATACCATAAAATTTGTTGTTCTTATTCCCAGGAATCCAAATATTTAGCGCTTTTCTACTACATATACATATAAAGTCTACTTAAGCAGTATCATGCATATAACTTTACACTGTTCTTACCAACTCTGAAATCAACGTAACCCTCACCGCCCGATATAACTAACATGGCGGATGGTTGCTTCAGAGGACCGCCTACAGATGACACTGAAGCCGACATTGCTTCGGATGGTGTTGAAGCTGCACTCATTCCTATGAAACAATAAAAGAGTTCACTCAATCTATTTTAAGGATAACATAAATTATATGGTCATAAATGTGTTCAGTTTGCAAAATGGTCGTCAAAACATAAAAAAGTTGAGAAACATTATAATGGGGAGATGTATATGAGTATAAAAATACTACTACTGCTGGCCCAAGACTACTATTTTAGATACGTACATGATTTATTTTTGGTTTGGTTTGTTAAATGTGGATATTGCCTGAATGAAAATGCATTGCATAATGTACACAAGTTTCATGTATTGTAAAAATTATTAAATATATGCTTTACCTCCATTGCCAGGCACAGCAACAAAGAACTTGACGTTGTCCCGGTGTCCATGGAAGCTCAATTGCGCATGAGCCATGGTACAGTAGGGAACAAAGCTGCCTGGAATGGGTTGTACCCTAACGCCTGCACCGGGAATAGCGGAACCTCGAGGCACAACAGCCCCGATTGTAGCGCCACTGTCCGTCAACGGAACCGATATTATGACGCCATTGCTGGTACCAATCCACAAGCGATTCGAGGAAATTAACAAGCTGGTAATACGCACGAAAGAAAATCCTAGTTTGCCTGTGCCGAGCATTTTGCTTACGTAAGGCTCGATATCAACGTCTTGCAGGTGCTGATAGGTGTGGGCGTGATACAATCGAAGCGTGGAATCCAATCGGATCGAAACCCACACTCCCTCGCCAAGCCACGCGATTTGTCTTACGGGACTGTCTCTTCTGGGATGCGCTTCCAATGTGTGTATGATTCGGAGTTCTTGCGGGTTCAGAACGTGCAACTTGTTGCGATACCCGCACCAGACCTTATCGCCTACCACAGCTAACTGTCGGACGGATTGATGCGGCAATCCGATTTGTACCAAATGATACTTGCTCAGATCCCACTCTCCTTCAATGTTTCTCTTGAAAATTGCCACAGCCCCGCACGCTAATGCTACTATTACTCTACCATTTAGATGCCTGAAAATAAGTACATATTTAAACCGTAACTACTAATATCGCTCATTTTAACACAAAAGAAATTCGAGTTTTGTTCGTCACCGCTTCATGAAAGACTATGAAAATAATTGACTTTGTGACCTAGGAGGAACAAAATTGTATTCCGAGCATTAAAGTTACAAAATCTACAACAGATTGGGACAGAGAAATCGAGGGGTGCCCAACATATACTTGACGATGGTCATAGAATGCTTTGACAACCTTAAGCTTAATAGAGAAGTTATGGAAATAAGTCTGCTAGATAGTTAATGATCGCTGAGCGTGTCAGCCAAAACATGTGACGTGGAGCAACACAAAATTTGGGTCATGTAGGACATTGCTACAAAAAGTTTATTGTTTTTAAAGTTCAAATGACTATACAAATTATTTCTCATTAAAGGAAACAGCACTCTCGTAATCATAAATGTTTGTAATTACTGTAGCTGTTTACATGGGTCATTCCACTAGACTAATTTAGATGAAATTTTTTCCATAATATTCAATTTACAAATGATTGTATGATTGATTTTTTATCTCCAAAATTTCAAAAAATTATAACTTTGGTATTTTCAATATTATTTTGAAATACGTATTATTTATTTTCGTGTCAAGAACAAAAGAATAATCCTGGGTAATTTATTTTTTTTAACAGTTGAAATGGAAAGCCCACCTACACAAACATCTACATACACAATTGTTTCGTTTTTATCAAGAAACCGACCCCTTAACCCTTTATAGGTTAATGGTCTCTATGTTAACCACATCCATTACAGCTTACTTAGAAATGAGAGAGAACCCAAACTTCGACCAAAGTACAAATAAATGAACTCATAATGTGCAGTGGGTATCATATTGGCCACAATTTAAATTTGACAATTGTTAGAACCAATGTGGTCTCTATGTTAACCATTGCCCGTTCCCACAAAATTGCGAAAAAGTAACATTTGCAGTAATTGTTGCTGCTAGCGAGCATAAGCATATTTGTTTTACCTGACAACACACATAATTCAAAAGGAAATTGAATGCTTTACAACTTGTGATAATAGTACTTGGAAAATAGGTTAGCGCTAACGAAATATTTAGATCGTTTTGGAACATAACCTCTATCAAGCTCCCATACCGTGAGACTATTGAATCCATGCTTATAAACGTCCAGTATATTTTGGTTTTTTAAAAAATTGGATTCAAGTAAACTATTTTATCTAGTCGTTGGTATAACCGAAGATCAGGTTATGGATTCGGAGATTGAGGGCGATAGCCCATCAAGAGTCCCCAAGTACTTTTCGTCTGAATTCACCAAGTACATCTTCATGTTTACAAGTAACTTCTGCCAATACTTCAGCACGATCCAGCCTACGTAATCGTAGTGAGCAAACATCCAGTATACATTTCAGAAAACAAATTTTGAATAGATTTGGGGGTGAAAGCGACACTAATGCAGATGTTCTTTCAGATGACTCAGTATCGCGATAAGTCATCAGATTCAGAGAAAACTACCAGTATACTACTATAGTAGGTCATTTTTGAAAATTGACCAGTGAAAATAAAAATATGCATCACGGAAATGCCACTGTAACTTACTTACAAACACAAGAGTAGGTAGAATCAAAAAATGAAGAAACTTTGAGAAATTGAAATTTACTAAAACCGTTTCTAGATAAGAATAATGACAGTGAACAATTTGGAAATAAATATTTGATTTTTTATAGCATAAACCATGTAATTATTTTACCTGGTCCTGAAAAAAAACTAAAATCCTTTCAGAAACGCAAAAAAACCGATTAATTTAAATATGTGGTTTGCATTTAGACCACCGCCCATCTATCATCTTATGGGCAGTGGTTTCCATTTTATCCACCATGATAAATTAAAAAAAAACAGTTGGATTTTCAAAATAATCATTAAAATAACTTCCAACATCCAAAATAGGTATGTCTTACCAAAAAAAATAAATAAATAACAATTAATGGATTCTGCCCTATAAAGGGTTAAAAAAAATGTTGGTACTTTTTTGTATGAAATAGATAAATAAATACCTAAAAATACTTACACAATACTGATAACAGTATCCTTCATCTTTACAGAATGTAAGCACTGAGCCCAATTTGCTACGGCCGAGTGAACAAACAGATTGCCATTTTCGTCGCCCATCCACATTGTTGCCAATACGCTAGACATTACTTCTTTATTGGTGCTTTTCGTTTCGGATTTATCATCGCTTTGATCATCGGTTTCGGGTGAACCGCTTTCGCCTTCTGCTGATTCATTATCTTCAGCCGCTAGTGTTGTTTTATATTTGTCTTTTTTATTAACTACAGATTCGTCGTTTTCAACGTATGTTATTTTACCAAGCTAAAATAAATAATAGATTATTTAAGGGAATCATTTAACTCCTCCTAGCTATTGATAAATTACATGTTGCCCTCTTATACAAAAAAAGACATGTACAGCAAAATACCATGGATTACTCGACTTATAATAGGCCAATATTGCTTTAAAGCAATTGTTTTTCAAATAACTTAAAAACGCGCGTTAATTGGCGCCTTTTGGTGTCTTACCTAAATTAATTATATCAAAAGTTGCTCGATTTAATTAATATTGTAAAATTTAATGGGATTTTTCTAAAAAATTTATTCTAGTAGCTCAATGATGTAACTTTACCCGGACAACATTCGTGATATTCATACGAACATCATGTCGTGATTTTCACAAATTTTTTTCATACTGATATCACCGCGTGATAAATGAAAATCATACGAACGTCACGTCGTGATTTTCACAAATTTTATTCATATGGACATCATCCGGATGTCACTGCGTGAGAAATGAAAATCATGTCGTGATTTTTTATGCCATCGCTGTTTGCGATTGACCGATGGCCTAAAAAATCATTTCGTAATTTTTTTTATGCCAACGGTGTTTGGATAATCATTTTTTCTAAGAGAAAAATTATGTTGAATCAACAGTTTTTGAGGTTAAATACATTTAATATTTTCTTGGATTTAAATTAACTATATATAGTTAATTTAAATCCAAGAAAATATTGAATGTATTTAACCACAAAAACTGTTGATTCAATATATATGTGGGTATACTTTTTCTCTGCGAATGTGGCGCAAAAATAAATATCCAAACACCGATGGCATAAAAAATCACGACATGATTTTTTATACTATCTGTGTTTGGGCATAATAAATCACGACATGATTTTTTATGCCATCGGTGCATCGACATGTTTGGATATTTATTTTTGCGCCACATTCGTACATTGAAAGAAAAAGTATGTTAACAATTGAATTAACAGTTTTTGCGGTTAAATACATTTAATATTTTCTTGGATTTAAATTAAGTATTAATTTAAATCCAAAAAATATGTATTTAACCACAAAAACTGTTGATTCAATATATGTAGGTATACTTTTTCTCTCAATGTAAGAATGTGGCGCAAAAATAAATATCCAAACACCGATGGCATACAAAATCACGACATGATATTTTATCGGTGTTTTCACAAATTTTATTCATACTGATATCATACGGAAGTCGCCGCGTGATAAATGAAAATCATAAGAACGTCACGTCGTGATTTTCACAAATTTTATTCATACGGACATCATCCGGATGTCACTGCGTGAGAAATGAAAATCATGTCGTGATTTTTTATGCCATCGCTGTTTGCGATGGACCGATGGTACAAAAAATCATGGTATGATTTTTTATGCCAACGGTGTTTGGATAATCATTTTTGCGCCACGTTCGTACACTAAGAAAAAAATTATGTTGAATCAACAGTTTTTACATACATTTAATATTTTTTTGGATTTAAATTAACTATATATAGTTAATTTAAATCCAAGAAAATATTGAATGTTAAACTGTTGATTCAATTGTTAACATACTTTTTCAATGTACGAATGTGTCGCAAAAATGAATATCCAAACACCTATGGCATAAAAAATCATGTCGTGATTTTTATGACCAAACACCGATGGCATAAAAAATCATGTCGTGATTTTTTATCCCATCGGTGTTTGGATATTTATTTTTGCGCCATTGAGAGAAAAAGTATACCTACATATATATTGAATCAACAGTTTTTATGGTTGAATACATTTAATATTTTTTTGGATTTAAATTAATAGTTAATTTACAACCAAGAAAATATTAAATGTATTTAACCGCAAAAAACTGCTAATTCAATTGTTAACATACATTTTCTCAGAATGTACGAACGTGGCGCAAAAATGATTATCCAAGCACCGTTGGAATAAAAAATCACGACATGATTTTTTAGGCCATCGGTCAATAGCAAACAGCGATGGCATAAAAATCACGACATGATTTTCATTTCTCACGCAGTGACATCCGGATGATGTCCGTATGAATAAAATTTGTGAAAATCACGACGTGACGTTCGTATGATTTTCATTTATCACGCGGTTACTTCCGTATGATATCAGTATGAATAAAATTTGTGAAATTCACGACATGATGTTCGTATGAATATCACGAATGTTGTCATTCAATTAAAAAAGATATTCCAATATTTAACAAAACGGTCACGTTTTGTTAAACATTGAAATATCTTTTTTAATTGAACCCGGACAACATTCGTGATATGCAAACAACGTTTTATAAATTATAACGGTGTAATATGAATAACAAACTAGGTTTTAAATTCGCAGTTCGCAGGTCTCATAGGCATGCGAACATTTTGCAAATATCACACCGTGAGTTCTACATGATATCACTGGGATGAAGCATGTGTATGCACTCAGGATTTCACAGCGTGATAAAAAAAATCACGTTGTGATATCATCATGACTTCACCAGGAAATCCCGATTGTTGTCCGGGTAAATATAGCAAAATTGAAGTAAATGAACTTATTTTGAACAAATATTAGAAATATTTCCCACACCAAAACAAAACACAAAGTGCTTAAAGTACTTTTCGCCAACGATGTTGGCATCTTCAGAAGGGAAATCCCCAACACCAAAACACGAAGTGCTTAATATATAAATTTTGTAAACTTTAAAAATAAATAAAGACATTTAATAATATTAATTTAGGATAATAATACTTACATGTAAATAAATAAAAACACATGAATTTGTCAATAAAAAAAATTTCCAATGTTCCTCAAACAGTTTATGTGAACGCTTCAATGACTTTGGAGAAAGATCGTGACGTTGGAATACAAGCAAAAGTCGTGTCAATCCTTACGAGTGAAACTTGAAATAAAATACGAACATAACCAATTTTGTTGACACTTTAAACCTTTTTACTTGTAAAACCATTAACAGCATATTTTAGCATAAAGTTATAAGTAAGTTACGTTTTAAATTTAAAATTCGCACCCCTAGTATGTGCTTTACCGCCATTTATAAACAAATACAAGACGAAACTACAGATTGAAATAAATACACCCATGAAATAAGCTTAAAATAGAAAAATATAATAACATATATTTCGAAGAACTGAATAAATTAATACAAAAAGCTACAGACTATAATATCCCTAACCACAAAGCCTAACAACAATATAAGACACATACCACAACCCTGGTGGACCACTGAATGCAATAAAGCAATAGCTCAAAGAGCATTAAACATCTAAAAAAAAACATGACAAGGGAAAACTTCAAGCAAAAACTATTACAAAAAAAGCAAAGGAGAAAGGATGGGAAGACTGTGCAAGCATTGATCATCAAACAGACCCAAAAGCAATGTGGAACTAAATAAAATCCATCAGTGGTTACAGAACTGACACCAAAAATGCTATTAAAGAAAGCACAACCAACTGTGAAAACTTTTTGGCCAAAATCACTCCAAACTATGCCGAAAACAAAGACGAAACTTGGAAAAGGATTTCACACTGCATGAGCTGCATCAAAGTTTAAAATCGAAAAAAATTACTTATCCAGGACACGACCAAATAAACTACAAAATGATAAAGAAATTTCCTCACAACGCTAAAAAGGAACTAATGAAAATATATAATATATGGTGGCACTCCAGAAACATAGCTATTAAAAAACACGACAAACCCTTAGACGACATATCCTTATACCGACCCATATGCCTCATGCCCTGCATAATAAAAACACTAAACAAAATAGGCACACCAAAAACATTCATAAGATACATTCAATGCCTTCTCACTAATAGAACATACACCATGAAATCCAACAAGGGAAATACAACCCGAATAACCAATAACGGCCTACCACAAGGTTCTGTTCTAAGCCCCATATTATTTAACATTTACACATATTCAATAATGGGAAATCTTGACAAAAGAGTACATTTTATCCAATATGCAGATGACATCATGATATAAACCAGCATAAACCTAAATAAAAACATTAAAATAATAACAACCACATTAAATAAACTGCAAGACAGACTAAACATCTAAACCTGGAAATAAATCCTAATAAAACAAAAATAGTACACTTTACACGAAAATATAATAACCACATAATGAAATAATCTTAGATCAGAATACCCTAGCAGAAAACGAAAACACATAAAACGAAAACGAAACACATAAATTCCTAGGCTGGACAGAATATATTCCCACAACAAACACAACAGAAATCACAAAAAGAATTAAACAAGACCGCAACATTTTAAGAGCAATAAGTAGAGGCACAAACCAAAAGACTATGCTTATGATATACAAAGCAAGAACCCTACAGAAAATAAACTACGGAATACACAATTATGGAACACATCTAACTAAAAAACAAATAAAAAAATTAACTACAATTCAAAATGAATGCCTAATAATATGCCTAGGTACATTAAAATCCACCCCCTACATGTTCTGAACAACAAAGCTGCTATGACCTCAACCAAAATACATATAGAACAACAAATACAAACGACCTTTATCAGATGGTGGACAATCTACAGCCACACAGAAAATAAATTAAACACATTAAATCAAATCATTAATGGTAAATAAATACTGGAGCAAAACCAAAATACCCTTGGATATACTCGCATACCGAGAACTTACAGAAGCCCTTGAGCATGTCAATAACACCTACCCACCAAACGACTTTCCATTATACAAGGTGTCCCGTATCATTATGTTCAAATTTTGGGAGCATAAAGTAGACTTATTTTTAGGAAGAAAACCCGCAAAACTTATACCTATATCCATTTTTATTTGTTTCAAAGTTACAGGCCTTTGAATTATTGGTAAATAATTAATAATCATAATTTATTCTTAAAGTAAATAAAAAATGATTTTATTTAAGAAAAGGTCATATAATATTATTTTTAAAATGTCCACCTCATTGTTGAATGCAGGCTTGTGCCCGTAAGCCAACAGATAAAATAGTTATCCGTATTTGGTGCTTGTTTTGTCGTAATTGTTTGGCAGCCTGCTGAATACGTTCCAATAATTATTCTCTTGTACCTTTTTGAAACTTGGGCGTAGTTTAAATCTTTCATGTACCCTCATAAATAAAAATCAAGGGAATTGTGATCGGTGATCTAGGTGGCCAGGCAACAAGACCACCTTGACCAATCCATCTTGGATAGTTCACAGTAACCCAATTTTGCACAGCAATTCCGAAATGTGGTAGCGACAGTCACGGCTTAATTTTAATTTCTGCAGAACAGTCCTCTGGACAGATGAAGCTACATTTACAAGGGCAAACTTGCATAATTATTTGCCAATAATTCAAAGGCCTGTAACTTTGAAAGAAATAAAAATTGATATACAAGTTTTGCGGGTTTTCTTCCTAAAAATAAGTCTACTTTATGCTCTCAAAATTTGAACATAACGATACGGGACACCTTGTATAGAAAACCACTAAATATAACAACCAACATACCCAACATCACATCCAAGACAGAAGACTTAACAATACTCAAAGCAGAAACTCTAAGAATGATTGACACAAAATACAAAGACCACGAAAAAATATACACTGACGGATCCAAAAAAAACCGACTACACAGCAGCTGCAGCAGTAATTCGAACTCTGAATGAAATAAATGGTTTTAAAATACAAGCACACGCTACAATACTAACAGTTGAACTATCAGGGATCCTTATGGCCCTACAATTAAAGGAAAACAAAAACACCAAAACCTATGTTATCTTAACAGACTCTAAAGCAGCCCTACAAACGCTTAAAAAAATGGACACACTTAAAAACAAACAACCACTCGCCGAAGAGATACACAAAAATCACTGACAACAGAGGCATAAACATCAAGCTTCAATGGATACCTGGACACATCAACAAAATGGCAGATGCGGCCGCTTCACCCAATAAGCCACGTAAAAATACCTCATAGAGAATTAAAACAAATTATTAGAGACAAAACAATGAAAAAGTGGAACCATAAGTACAACAATGAAATAAGAACAAAAGGATAATAAGCCACGTAAAAATACCTCATAGAGAATTAAAACAAATTATTAGAGACAAAACAATGAAAAAGTGGAACCATGAGTACAACAATGAAATAAGAACAAAAGGAAAATGGTACGGGAAAATCCAATCAAGCATTCAGTTAATACCATGGTTCTACAAAACAAACCTTAAAAGACAAGCCACAAAAAAATAATTCGATACAGAACTGGACACGGCCTCTAAAACGAAAAAAAATACTTTAATCTCGTAGACAACCCAGACTGTACAACCTGCGAGGTACCCTAGACGGTGAAACATGTTCGGCTTCACTGCAAAAAGACACAAAAAACAAGACAACAAACTGAAAAAGACACTGGAAGCAACATCATGGACCTACTGAAAAACATAGACCACACTAGGGATGCACCGGATCGGGTATTTTGCCGATCCGGCCGGAACCGGAATTCCGGCCGGATCGGGACCTAAATTTAAAATGTATTTGCATGCCTATTTTTATACGTAAAACATTGAAAATATTGAGGCTGATTTATTTTTACTTTTTTTTAAACTAGCTACAGTATGCAGAGTGTTTATTACTATTAATTTTACCTAGATAGAAATTACTGTTTATTTAAATATTAATTTTTAATTAGCGTTAACAAAATTAATACAATTCTACTCATTCAATTGGAGAATAGCAGCCACCTGCCAATAATAAAAAAATTAAAAAGGAGTCGGGGAACCACAGCCGCCGGTCTATCATAGGCAAGGAAATACGCACACCCTTCTCTGTTGACCAATTACAAAATATATCTGGAAAGCGATCCGGCCGGAACGGTAGTTCCGGCTAACTGGCCGGATCGGCCGGATTTAGTGGTACCGCCGGAATTCCGGTGCATCCCTAGACCACACCTATCAAAAATTAAAGATTTTTTTGCACAAAGTTCCCAACTTGTAAAAGTTAAGCTCTTTTTACTTATGGTTGCATAGCCTTAGGCTTAAACCTTGCGTAGTCATATGATGAATTAAAAAAATAAATAAATAAATAAATAAATGAATATAACCTAGAAACCTAGAAACATTTGTTCGTATTCATTTTAAAGTTACATTTTAACGCAGTCTGACTTTATTTAATGTACTCACCGATCAAAAAACGCGTCGGTAAGTAATTACTTACCGAGGCGTTATTCCTAGCAACCAGTAAACACAACCTACCGATCTATAAATGGAAACAGTAAATCATTCAAAATAGCATGGTCATACAAAAACCATTATTAACTAACTTTTTATTACAATTATACAATATAACTTCCATGGAGGGTCATTTATCTGTTTTTATTTTTTTTTTTCATAAAAATCCGTTGGGATTCAAAATATTTAAAAAGTGATTTAAAATAACACAAAAGGGTCCGGAATCAGAAAAGTTCTTCAAAGGGGTACACATTTATAAAATTATATTTAAAGGGACAAATTATCTTAAAAAGTGCTTTAAGGAATCCACAATAATGTGTTTTTCTACTCCCACCTTTAAAACGCTCTTTATCGTACATGTCATAGAAAAAGTATAGTATGCACCTTGTTTATAAACTTTTCTATACTCGCTCGCAAGTTCGCTCGTGCCTAAATTAAATTCGTGTATAAACTGGCGTTTATCAAACTTGATACATAATATACTATTATCTACTCCTATTGCATAATTTTGGTGTTTTTCCGTGAATATTGTTAAGCAATATAAATTTCCTGCCTAACAACGTGAATAATAAACTCAGTATTCACGTTGTTAGGCATCAGTGATTGGCCGATTTCAGTATTCACTGTGATTTGAACCAATCGAGTTTTAAAATTGGTAAAAGTAAGGTTTACCATTTGACACATGTCAGATTTTATTTATTTAATTTTGAAAATCATTTAATTATCTACTTATTGGAGTAGATAAAGTATAGTATTGCACTCGAGATTATGCGCAATATTCACTCGGATGATTTAGGTCTCTCGTCTAGCGACTCGAGACGTAAACCTCATCCTCGTGAATATTAGCCTGCATTATCTCTCGTATAATAATATATTATTTGAAGGCGCCCAAAATCATTTTTAATAAATAATGATGCTAATAGTATGTGCTTTAGTATACATGTATTACAATATTTATAAACAAAATTTATTTGTAACTTCAAATGTATCGATTTTCAAAATAATTTTTACCAAAAAATAAATATTAAAAATTGTTTTTTTCAACGGTAAAGTGGTATTTAGTGATTATTTTCTTTAATTTTCGAAATGTCCTAACCCTATAATAGAAGTTCAATTTGGGGAAGTATAACTTTTGTTTTGTTTTGTCTAGTGTCTTATCCAGTCTAGTTTGACCTTTTGGTACAGTCTAGTACCTGGTTGGGTTTTGTTTATATTTAGATACTTATATTTTATAATAATTATATATAAGTTAAAAACCCTGCAGCGGCTAAACGAAGCAACTTTGGATATAGTAAGTAAATCGACCTATTTTAAACCAAGGAATCTATTGGTATTTGTTTAAACACGTATTTTCTGGTTTCCCTGCATAAAAACTATAATTCAAGGTAAATTTACCACAGCTGCTTCTTCCTGCTCCTCTTGATTTCTAGTGCTTTGCTTAATGAACGGAAGAGCATTGTCATCTCTAATCTCCTCTATAGTGACGCCTTTATGCTCTGGCGATTCGTCATGGGTTTGAGTGATTATCGGAACAGTAGTGGTGGGCTGGTCATAACAAATTGGCATATTGTTGTCATAGTCAATGGGACTAGCACCTGGAACGCTGGCAATGCAAAGTATGTGATTTGAACACACGCCGAAACTGTTAAGAAGTTCGGCGGGGTTATTGGCATCTATAATTGTAACTAAGCTGGCCACTTTAGTGGTCGTACAAATCCAAACACTTGAAGATAGCTTCGTTTCGAGCAGCGCTGCCTCCCGGCTGTTGCTTAGTTCTTTATCGAGACTTTCCACTTCGCTTGGAGTTGGTTTTATTTCAGGCAGCTTTGGTTCTTCAGTGTAAAACACACTTCCACCGACCTAAAAGAAATATATATTTTAATACTTTCTTAAAACAATTAAATATGGGTAATTCTGCATTTTGTTGTTCAAGAAACATTTTACGAATCTAAATAATTAAGATATAACTTACAAAGTACAAAGCTTCTGATGCAACTTTTTAAAAAGGGGTAAATAAAAAAAGCTGGCATAAAATCGAATTTGTAACATTTGTTGTTATACCTTTCATAGGTATAACAACAAATGTGCTGCCAATTTTCTGTAGCAATGTCAGGGTACAGGATTTTGAATGAATGCATTGGGTCTTGAAATTAATTAGTTTATGTTTTGTAGTAAATCATGTATTATGGTCCACACCAAGGTCTTTTATTAGACCGGTCTTATATAAGATTAAGGTTGATTTTCTGTCAGTCAAGCTTATTTCGTCCTGTTTTCTGAAAATAATGCAATATATCGGTAGCTGCACTGTTTTTAATAAATATTTTAACAACATATACATTTAACAATATGTACTCAAAATTTCATCAAGATCGGAGCACTACAACTTATGTTATAGCAATTTATAGCGCGCTACCTCACGAGCATTTAAAATCAAATTGAACGAACTTAAAACATGTTTATCTCGGAATCGTATTTTTTGAAAAGTGCCGTTGCCGTGAGCACAATTTCTCGAAAACCAATTTACCGGTCGATCTGAAATATGAAAGTGTTGTTCCTAATTACAATAGCTCCTTCGAGGGGATTTTCATTTCGACAAAAATTTTTATTTTTTTCGGCCGGAAAACTAAATTTTTGTACCTTTGAAAAAAGGCGTTTCGGGGGAAGGGTCGTATTTTTCACAATTTTGCTTTTCTTTCGCATAAAATTTTGAATACTTCTAAACATATCCTATTCAATGCTTTATAATTATTATTATATACCAAAAAAAAATCACCAAAAACCGTTAATTTTTACAAGCTCATACGTAACCCCTTAAGCGAAAATGACTATTTTGTATTCTAAATTATATTATATTATTTAAAAAAAAAATAGACGTGGGTGTATATATAAGCAGCGGCGGCGTGAGTATAAGAAATTTTAGGGATTTTGGGTCGCTGAATCCGAATCCGTGTTCGGGATTTAGCCGTCACCCTCAAGTTTTTTTGTAACCTCAAAAATAGCGGTGTTTTTCTCGACATCGACCATAAATTCGGATTCATCGGCGAAAATACATAAAAATGGTCTCTTTTGGTCTGCTGGACCAAATAATTTGCGGTTTGGAGAGGTTTCTATTTTGTGTTGCAGAATTCGAGGTCGGAATTTTATAATTAGCTTTTGTTTTCTTCCTTGCCTCAAAAAAATGTTACGAAAAATCAACAAAAGACTTGTTTTTTGAGGTTAGGGAGAAAACAAAAGTTAATTTCAAAATTTCGACCTGATTCGGATTTTGCGACACAAAATCGATATTTGTTCATCATAGGAGCATAGCAAGGCTGTGGGTAAAAGTCATGGGGATAAGTCAAAAAAAAAAATTTCAGTAGAAACGTATTCGCATAAATTTAGGAAATATATTTATGGTTAGCGGGTATACCCTTTTGTTAGCACATGTCATATCCTAACAAAAGCGTATACCCGCTAAACATAAAAATATTTCCTGAATTAATGCGTTTAACACGTTAAAGCTCTATTGAAAAATTGCTTTTTTTGACTTATCCCCTTATGCCTTTTACCCACAGGTATTGTGCTAAGCGGACCAAAAGAGACTTTTATATGTATTTTTTGCCGCTGAATCCGAATTTATTGTGGAGATCGAAAAAAAATGCGTTATTTTTTTTACATATTTTACAATGCATAAATGGTCGAAAACGATAAATAAAATGTTTTTTAAGGTTAGAAGAAAACCTAAGGGTTATGAGCGACCCAAAATGTGTGTGGGGCTGTTATCAGTTTAAAACCAGTTCTTTGAAGTTAGGATAGAAGAGATAGAGTAATACATTTGTCAAGGTTATTAAAATGCCAAATCGGTTTGTAAAGAGTATTGACAAATTCTTAATGGGTTCTGAACTATTCTTGTTAAAAAATTCATTTAAAACTATGTACAGATATTTGCATTAGTTAGAAGCCTCACTTTCCTTTTTCTTGCTCTATTTTAGTGCAGCACTTTTCTGACTCTCTTTTTATTTATTTGTGCAAAGTTTAATGTGCATGATTCTCCAAAAAAGAATTGTTAATTATCGAAATTATCGATGACATTCAACTAGTTACTATTTGTAAAAAAATATATAAATTACTAAAACTAAAAAACTATAATTTAGTATTTTTATATTATTTAATGTTTACTTTCACACTGTTCATGCATATTTCCAGTGGCAGATAATGACATGGGACCCACATCACATTTATATCAGTTTATAATGACATTATATAGACAAGTTCTGCGCAAGCAGAATTTAATTTGAAGTTTGCGAAAAAAAAGTTAGTTTTTAAGTGTGCCCCCCAGCCTCCTGCCACCCAAATTAAGATAATTAAAATTAAAGTGGTACAATATTTAATTCACTGAAGTTTATCAACAAATTTCAAATTTTATTAAAAAATTCAAGTATTACAGATTTTATACCATTTCTATTTTTTTTAATTTAATAAAAGAAATAATAAAAATTTAAAATGGTATAAAACCTGTAATTCTTGAATTTTTTTAATAAAATTTGAAATTTGCCGATTAACTTTAGTGAATTAAATATGTAGCACTTTAATTTGAATTATCTTAATTTGTGGGGACAGGAAGCTGGGGGGCACACTTAAAAACTAACTTTTTTTCGCAAACTTCAATTTAAATTCTGCTTGCGCAGAACTTGTCTATATAATGTCATTATAAACTCATATAAATTTGATGTGGGTCCCATGTCTAATAACTGAGATATGGGTGTACCCAAAATCCACTAGCCGCCACTGCATATTTCAAGGTTTTTATGTTGCATATAATCCAGGATCATCGCTTAAGGTTTAATAAATAAATTTACCATTAGTCCACCATCCCTGGTAAATCCACCTTGAAGGTTGACTCCAGCTGCGCACCAAATCTTCATGTTTGGCGTGGATTCCGCCAACGGCCTGCAATAAACCGGGACCGGTACAGGCACGCCGCTGCTGCTCTGCGAGCTCCTGCTGCCAGGGCCTTTTCCGGGTAGACTCCAACCGTACGCCTGCAAACGACCGTCGTCCTTACGCACATGCGCCTTCACCTGGCGGTACTGTTCTCTTCTCTCGATTGCACGTCTCACTGCCATTTTCTCGGCACCTAAAATAGACGGTTTGTAGAACGTTAACAACGTTCAACATTTTACTTACAATTTTGTATCTACTGTCATGTTCTGTGCACACCATCTACGCGATGCAAATAAAGCACGATTTTTCCGATAAACGAAAAATAAAACACTAAACAAAACTAAACAATATATTTAAATAAACAATCACAATTCTTAAATAAGGAAAAAGCTTTAAGACTAGATTAGTTTGAGCTTTGGTTTAACTAGATTAACAATCCAATTTTATCAAATTAATTATTAGCAATTTAAAATTAACTTTATTTTAAAAAAATTATAATTAATAACAATCTGTGTTTATTAATTAAAACAATTTAATGACAAACTAATTATTTTAAAATAATTATTAATTATTTTAATATAAACTTATAGATATAAGTTATAAAATTAATAACACCCCAAACTATAATAATTATTATGGATGCATATGGGTGGAAATTCCTAAGAAAAGATTTCAATTAATTTTATATTTACGTGTTTAAACGCCATTCAAGCGATTTAATTTGTTTGCTTTTTTATTATTATTGTGAATGTAACCTTTAATGTCATGTATGGATTCAGATCTTGTAATGATAAGCGTTTGATATTCTTTACCTCACGTTTGTTTACATGCAAAAAAAAATAACTTGCTATAAATAAATTAACGCTTTTCCTATAAAATTTAATGTTTCCCTCATTTCCTGACATTTTTTTTAGAATCCATAAGTCTACTTAAAAGGGGAACCTTTTAAATGATGTTTTCAACATGTAAACAATAAATTAACTAAAAAACAATTTTGCTTTTGCCCTTTAAAGATTTTGTATCCATATTTTTAACTTCAGTCTTCATATCCAACATTTTATACTAAAGCTTTTAAAAAAATAATTTAAAATATTCAGTTCAATTTATTACTAATAACATGATATACCGTAAATACGGGTGACTTTGCACCCCGCGGGTGACTTTAACCCATTTATGAAAAATCTTTTCGCGCTCGATAAAATTAACATTTATAATTTGTTGGTCTAAACCTGTCAATTGAGCGATTCTATTGAGTTTATATTACAGGAAAATCAGTGTTTTAAAGAAAGAAATGGGATTTATTACACTTTAAAATCGTATATATCGTATCAGTGCAAAACTCTTAGAAATACACGCGTTACAATTTCTATATTATGCGCAATCCATTGGAATGATGATCCTTGGTTAACTACAGGTCGATTTTTTATTTTTTTTATTGGTAATCCCTTGCAATAGATATATGTCGCTGCTAACACGTGTCTAATAAAAATAAGATATAATATTACATTCATTTTATACTGAAAAAACACTGTGAGACAAAGTAACCCGCAACCAGGGGGTAACTTTGCACACCCAGTTTTTAATGTTTATTTTTGAAACTCAGCCCTATGTAATATTATAACTTAGTTATTATGAAAGAGCAACTCAAGACTCAAATTTTGGTATACAAAATTTAATGTTTATGATTTTTAAAACCACAAAAATTTTAAGCTGAAGTTTGAAAGTGAGTCAAAGCCACCCGTGTTTACGGTACCCTAAAATGTAATTAGCACCCAATTAAATTGTCTGCACCCACAATTTGTAAATCTTATGTTAATAAAAACTCGTACATTACCTTACCTTATTACATATAGCACAATAAATAGTCAATAAAATATAGTGTAGTATCACAGAATAATGACAGCAGGTACAATCAGCATCAGTAAAATAAATTTTATACTTCCGTACCAATTTCAGTTTCAAGTAGATCATGACCTATTCTAGGCAAAGCTTTGATACCAGGGTTCACTTGGTTTGTGGACGCTTGGTACCTCAGATGAGGCACGACCAGCGGACGCTGTACTTTATCACTGGTTGTGAAAAGGTTGCTAAAAAATTTCCATATGCTTTTGTTGTTGTGCTTATCAAAGGGTGGATCGGTTTTTGATGCACGCAGCAACTCTGTCCAACGAACAGCCTCTTGCAGTTCCATAAAGCGTTCCTAAAAATAATTTAGACAATTACGTAACTACAACAATATAAACATAAAATGTCATTACAACAATATAAATATTGAATCAATTGTTTAATTATTGTTTTCAAAAAGGTCAAGACGAAGTAAATTTTCCAAAACAGTTAAAAAATTAAAATCGGTTAAAAAAAACTGCTTTTTTTTTGTTTTTCGCTCATAACTTCTTAAAAAATGGTCCAAATCAAAATGTTCATTCTACACGTACAGGCAAAATAATCGATCTACACAAATTTATGATGAATTTCAATCGCAAATAACTTTTTTATTTGATGTCTGATTTAAATGAATACTAAAGAATATTGTAAATTCATTAACGGATAATCGCTAGCATTTTAAAAAATTAATAAAAAATAGATGCACGTTTATAATATACAGGTTTAAACAAAAAGAAGTTTTTTAACAAGTTTAAGATACTCTGTAGAGTGGCTAAACCGTATATTGTTCTAAATTAAGTTTTAATTATCAAGTCACTATTTTTTTTAAAAACATTGCAATTTCCAATATTTTTTCGAACTTTTTAGAACTAAGGTTGCTATGGCCCATCCATAGGCTATGATGACAGTGACAGTTTTGTTGAATCATCCCATAATTGTTTTTTACAAATTAATGTTTTACTTCAAAGGTGTCTTCTTACTTTTAAAAATGGATAGGTATGATGTTGCCAGAGCCATTGATTTAATTCAGGATGGACGGTCATAATATTACGTGGTAAGTGTTTTAAACGTCACAAGAAGTAAAGTACAAAGGGCAACATCAGTCGGAGACATCCATTTTTAAAAGTAAGAAGACACCTCAAAATTAACATATTAATTTACAAAAAACAATTTGATGGCTTTTGAAAGCCGTATATGACATGGCCAAGTATGGGATGATTCAACAAAACTGTCACTGTCACCCTCCATAGGCTATAGATGGACCATAGCAACCTTAGTTCTTCGCACAGAAAAAATATTGGAAATTGCAATGTTTTTTTAAAAAATCCTTATTTTCCACAAAAATAAATATATCAAGGTGAACCAAAAACAAAACTGTTAAAAATAGATGCGACTTAATAATTAAAACTTAGTTTAGAACAATATACGGTTTTTCCACTCTACAGAGTGTCTTGAACTTATGAGAAAAAAAATATTTTTGTTTAAAATTGTATATTTTAAACGTACGTCTATTTTTTAGTAATTTTTTAAATTGAGCGATTCTCCATTAATTTATCTACCATATTCTTTATTATTTGTTTAAATCCGAAATCATATAAAAAAGTTATTTGCAATTGAAATTCTTCGAAAATTTGTGTGGATCGATTATTTTGCCTGTGAGTGTAAATTAAATTTTTTGTTTTTAAATGTTCTTTTCGAAAAAAAATATATTGAAAATATTTAAAGCGTTTTAAGTCAAGATTTTTTAGTTTTAAAGTTTAAATCGTGTTTTTAAAAATGAGTGTCTTCTTCGATTTTCGCGAAAAATTTTTATTTTCAACTTCTATCTATTCAACAACTATTCAGCCTGGTCCGGTAGTGGGCCTTCCATAATTAATATTTTTTTTTCGAAACTTAAAATAATTTTTAGAATTTTTTTTTTTTATTTTTGAAAAATCGAAAAAAAAATAGTAGTTGTTGAATAGATAGAAGTTGAAAATAAAAAATTTTCGCGAAAATCGAAGAAGACACATTTTTAAAAACACGATTTAAACTTTAAAACTCAAAAATCTTGACTTAAAACGCTTCAAATATTTTTAATATATTTTTTTTTCGAAAAGTACAATTAAAAACGAAATTTTTTTAAAATAATTTTTAGAGATTTTTTTTTTTAATTTTGAAAAATTGAAAAAAAAATAGTAATTATGGAAGGCCCACTACCGGACAAGGCTGAATAGTTGTTGAATAGATAGAAGTTGAAAATACAAAATTTTCGCGAAAATCGAAGAAGACACATTTTTAAAAACACGATTTAAACTTTAAAACTCAAAAATCTTGACTTAAAACGCTTCAAATATTTTCAATATATTTTTTTTTTTTCGAAAAGTACATTTAAAAACGAAAATTTTATATAGAATGAACATTTTAATTTGGACCATTTTTTAAGAAATTATGACCGAAAAACAAAAAAAAAACAGTTTTTTTGAACATTTGATATCTTTTGAACCCGTGATCAAAAAAATCTCAAAATTTACTGTGAAAGCTCTTTCAAGGAGTACTAAGAAATATAAAAAAAAATGGAGGAAACAAAACAAAATTTTTTTTAAACCATCCGATTTGGCGTGGAATGCCCCATATATATATATATATATATATATTAGACTGGTTCAAAAAAATCGAATATTTTTTTTTCTTCAAAGCCCGCATTAAAATATCTTCCTAGTAGTAAAAAAAGAAGCCTGTGAAAATTGTAGCTCTTAATATTAATATTTAGAGGTCGCTCATCGTGAATTTCTATTTTACGTTTAAATAACACAGGAATTCTTTTTTCTTAACTTTGAAATTGTATAACTCGTTTTTGAGTGAACGTATTGGAATGAACTCTATATATTTTTGAAGACAATTGAACGTTCTACAAAAAATGTCTCTTATATTTTTTTCTTAAATTCACTCCTTTAATAGTTATTCAAGGTTGAAATATGTCCACTCAAAAAAAAAGTTATAAAATTAAAAGTTAAAAAAAATTCCTGTGTTATTTAAACGTTACATTTATTATATGTCTAATTTCAACCTTAAATAACTATTAAAGGAGTGAATTTACGAAAAAATTATAAGAGACATTTTTTGTAGAACGTTCAATTTTCTTCAAAAATATATAGAGTTCATTCCAATATGTTCACTCAAAAACGAGTTATAAAATTTCAAAGTTAAGAAAAAAGAATTCCTGTGTTATTTAAACGTAAAATAGAAATTCACGATGAGCGACCTCTAAATATTAATATTAAGAGCTACAATTTTCACAGGCTTCTTTTTTCACTACTAGGAAGATATTTCAATGCGGGCTTTGAAGAAAAAAAAATATTCGATTTTTTTGAACCAGTCTAATATATATATATATATATATATATAATATACACAGGGTGTCCCAGAAATGTGGGCAATCTCCCGGATGCAAATAGAAATAAAATTTAATGTAAAATGCATAAAAATAATATGAGAAGTTCCTATAATTTTTGTTCCTATGGACCCATCTACGAGATACGAGAGATACGGGTCCCTGAAAATAGTTTCTTTTTAAATAACTTTTGAAGAACTACGTGAAATTTAAGATCTTTTTAATATGCTGGTTACTAGGAAAGTTTCCTTAAAATGGGCACTTTTAATCACATTCGGCATATTTAGTTTGTCAGGGACAGACTATCTCTAACAGAGGAATGCTATGTTTTAACACCCTGTAGTGTAAAGGCATAACAATAATATTTTTCGTCAGCTTAAACCTTAAACTAAAAAAAAGGTTCTCTTGATTGACATCGATAAAATGAACTTTTTACGAAAAAAAAAAATGTTTTTGTACAATAGGGCTTTTTACATTTATTTTTATCTTTTTTGCAATGTTTTTTTACATTAACGATTTAAATAATATTGTCAGTGTATTTTTTTCTTTTCAGCGGCGTCCGTTATGGGCCAGTATTTCCGTAGAGGGGGCCGTAGTAAAAAAAATTATATATATATATATATATATATATATATATATATATATATATATATATATGCATATATATATATGTATACAGTATCGGCCATAATTATTGCAACAACTGTAAAAAAGCGCCTTTATTAATCTTAAATAAATTTTAAATAAAAATTCTTCAACTTATATCTCAGTTTAGTAAACGTGTTTCCGTGTTCGAGGGTTTTTCGTGAAAATATCTTTAAAGCCCTTTTTTTCATTAGGGTGCGTCGACTACCTGGGCCATTGGCACCGTAAAGCCCTTTTATTTAATAATGGTCTAAGTAGATCGAAGTCAAGGTAAACAGAATGAATGGCTAAACTACACATTAAGGATCTTCGCATAATGGGGTAAAATAATTTGTGTTTAAATATACCTTACTACATTTTCAGCATAGTATAATGACGACCGGCTGAATTTTATTTAAAGGCAGTATTGGAAAATAGCAGCTGAATCTTTCTTGAAGTCAGCTGCTTATTTTGAACAGCTCGACATGGACAGCAATACTTCGGTACTGAAGAAAAGTAAAGGTTTCGCACAGTGGGGTAAATAATTTGCGCATATCTGCTTCCTAGCTTCTCAGCTTAGTAAACAACGACTGGCTGAATATGGGTGAATCTTTTTTGAAGTCAGTACTTTGAATAAGCAGTCGAATCTTCCTTGAAGCCAGCTACCAAATACCGGAATATTTTTGAATACTCCGGTATTTGGTAGCTGGCTTCAAGGAAGATTCGACTGCTCATTCAAAGTCCGTACAGACACAGAAGAACAAGATACAGTACACAACAAAAAAAAATATTAGGCCCCAACAGCGAAATAACAACACCCAGTTATTGTCCCCTGAAAATAAAAAGGTCTACCCTCCTAGTTCCCAGCTCCCCTAGCCCTCTCGGCGTATAGTCCCGCCCGGCGCAATTCCGGGAAGGGTCACTAAAACCATCGGCATGTTGCTTACGAAACCCAAAAAGGGTACCGCGCAAACTGAGGTGGACATACACAATTAACCAACAACATTTGAAGCTGTGCAGATGTTGGGTGTGAAAGAAAATCGGAAGCTGGGTATCGAATGCAGCCCCGCAAGGCTCAAAAGAGACGATGCGGATGGGGCCAGCTATACGCTCCTTATAGTTAGGGAGCTGGTGGCAGAAATTTTTAAGTCATTTGCTCGCGTGGCAGAAGTTGAATTATAAAAGTCACTAATGACAACTTCTGCCATACCATTATTGCTGCATTATTAATTAGTAGGTAGGTAATTAAATATGTAAAAAATGTCCTTGCTCGCGTCTGGCATTTTTTTAACTTGAAGTACCTAACAAGACTTTCAGATAAATATCATCGCCAGACGTGTATGTCTCTGTATTAATGAGTATTTTTTTTTTTTAATTTAAGTGATTTGCTCGTCAATAAAATTTATACTAAATGTTAATTGCAATTAACCCAATATTGGGTCATAAAAAAGCAAAAAATAAAAGTCTGTCATTTAATGTTTACTGCGATAATGAACGAAAAATAATCAAAATTGTAAAAACAAAATTGAATATTAAGTTGCTCTTGTCTGGCTCCAGAACGCTTTTAGGTTAAGGGGACAAAATGAGCAATTTAAAATATTTTACTGCAAAAAGCATACAAACCTACAAAAATTAACAATTAGAAAAAAAACATATCATTTAATAGAACATTTGTTTTTTACAAATTAACAATTGAAGACTACAGGGAAAAAACGTGCAAAGTCAATTTGGATATTTTCTGGTATGGTAGGTAAAAAAACAAAGATATTTTTTACACTTAACATTACTGTTTACCATAATGTTGTTTTAATAGAGTTCACAAAAGCAGTTAGTTTATTAAAAGGACCCAGAGATTACACATTTTAAAATTGCTCTTCTGAAAATTGAATTTTTTTGACGTCTGGCAAATGTTTTTTTAGTATCTATATAGCCAATTTAACATAAAACCTAAATGGCAGACCCGAGAAAATGACTTAGACTAGGTATTATTTTTTACAATTTTTAAAATTATTTGTTGCACAAAGCAGAAACATACATGTCTGGCATTATTTTTTTCTTATTTAGGGGACACCAATGAACAATTAAAATAATAAGATAAAGACGAGTAAATCACTTAATAGAGCATTTGTTTTTTACATATTTAAAATAATTTAAAAAAAAACGCAGCGTCCTAGACGTTATTTTAGTATTAATATGGTCAATTTAATATAAAACCTAAATGCCAGACATGACCAAATGACTTAGGTTTTATTTTTTACAATTTTGAAAATTATTTAAAAAAAAGCAGCGACGCCTCCTTATTTACTCAGTTCACAAGCATCAAAACTCTATAACGTGTCATTCCTAACGACGAGCAAATCATATACCGAAATTGCCACCAGCTCTCTAACTATTATGTTCATGTTCATACAGTGTGGGCGATTTAAGACCGCAACACCCTATTATTTAGGAACGCATTGACCGATTTTAATATATTTTTTTGAGACATAGTACTTGATGAGCTCTATTTCACCATGTGGAAGTTTTAAATTTTCTTTTTTCAAGGTTTGCTAAGATCTGCTTAAAGGGTCGAAATTTAGAAAAAATGTATAGCGGATTCGATTCAGGCGTGCCTTATAACCTATATAAAAAGTTTGAGCTCAATACCTTATATAGGGTTTTGTCCCAGAATAGTGCATTTTCAAATTTTTCACTTTTTAACTGAGGCTGTATTTACGTCTATTATGCGTACAAAAAGGTAAAGTATTTATTCGACAGAACCATGTTACATGTCTAACGGGAGGGGTTTGGGGACGAAAAACGTATATTCTAAAAAAACAGCATGACTTATTTTCGTATTTTTATACTTTAAAATTTAACTCAAATGTATTGAGCTCAAACTTTGTATAAAGATATTTAAAGCACGTCTAAATCATATGCAATATCCATTTTTTGACAGTCATGTATGGTCACTTATGATGATCATTTATGAAAGTGACGTTCAACTAATACCAAAGTACAAGTACACGCATTTAGAACTTTACCTGAAAATTTCTGACTAAATTAATTTTACCTTGTATTGATTACGCTCCATGAGAACTCTGGCCATTTCGATTCTGGTAAACCTCTTTCTTTGAGCCATTGGTATTTCAGAATCTTCGTCAGCATCCTGCTTCGCGTCGTTGGCTTCTTTTACTTTCTTTAATTCCTCTTCCAACTCGGTAACTCGTTCGCGCAGTTTCGTTCGTGATACGTTCAGAGATAAAATTTCCTCTCTTAACATGTCGATTTCACCGGTTAGTTCGTCTACTTTAACTATAAGGTCGTCCTTAACAACGTTAAGAGCGTTTCTAAAAAATAATGATAAATATTTTTTGTTAGTCTAAGAAAAACTAGAAAGCTTACTTGGTAGCAAGAAGTTCGTTATTCTCCATAATAAGATTTTCAACCTCTTTACCCATACCTACAAATTATTATGTTGTTACAAAGATATGTATAAAGTGTGTAAACAGTATTGGCCATTATTATTAATAATTCATAAAATTTAATAAAAATTTGACCAGCTCAGTATTTCAAAAAATAAAGGTAGGTTCTTAAATAAACTATGGTCCAATTTTGATCCCTCTTTAAAATACAGGTTAAGATCAGAGTTCAAATTATAATTTTGTTTAGGATTTTTTTTTAAGGGAGCAGTTTATGTTAATTAAAAACATAATACCCCTCTTGACATGTTCATTGTCTAATTTATAATTTGGGCATTCTTAATTTCAAAATATATATATTTAGGGTGGGATAGGATAAGTTTATTAAATGAAAAAAATGATATACAAAATTAAAGGAGATTCTTAAGCTAATGTTTTAATTACTTATTTTATATATTGGGTAAACTAAATAGCTTTTTTGGGTAATGTTGCTGTTTTTGTTTTTTTTATGTGGTTCAAAACTTTTTTGAGCAATAGACAGTAATATAAATTAATCAAATAGTATTGATAGCATTTATCGAAAAGGAACCAAGCGCCAAAAACTTTTTCTGAGGTAAACAAAACTCTTTTTAATGCTGCTCAAAAAATTAATGATTTGGGAACCCTCTCAATCAGAAATGTTCCAAATGATGATAAACCTTTTGAGCATTATTAAAAATGAGTTATTTTACAAATAATTTTACTAAGCTCAGAAAAAGTTTTTGAATCTTGGCTCCTTTTCAATAAGCGTTATCCATATGTTGTCCTAAACAATCCGCAATCAAAGCTTATGTTAAGCTTAAGATAAAATTTGAAGGACTATAAATCCAATTTAATTGAATTTAATACATAAACTAAAACAACAAAAGTACACTAAATTATTTTACATTAAACTCTTTTTTAATATTTTCTATGCTGTATTATTTAAAGAACGCCATTTTATGCCCTTTCCTTATTTACAAAAAAGATACTTCCATGTAAACTTAACAATAAAATTACCCAGTGCTTTTTTATTGTACTACATCCATTCCATTATTCTACAGAAAACTGATCATGCACAAGAGTGTTACTATAGCTGCGTTATTATATTATTGACAGATCTCAGTTAATCACATCAGTAAAATTTGCGTATTTTTTTCCATTTACTCACTTTAAAGTTAGCTGCGATTTTTGCTCCCCTCCTCACTGATAGTGTAAATGCTTTGCAGTTTGATTTGAGTCGGAAATAAAGCAAAGTGATAAAGAAAAAAGGTATTGGGTTTGTCTCATTTTTAAAATAGCATATATATACAATAAAACTTGTATTAATGTATTACATAATTTAACGCAAATTACTTTCCCACAGAACGAACCACGCTGAGCGCTTCAATCGAGTAAACCACAAATTTGTCCTTTTTATGCCTATTTCTATATCTTTAACTGAAGTGAGCTAAGATCATCAGTAAAAAACGCACCTTATATTACATCCAAAGCATTTTATCAAGTCTTGTAAAATTAATACATTAGTTAGCAAATAAAAATGTAAAGCTTACCATAAAAATTATCGTTGACTATCCGTAGAAAAGTTATTGAAACAAAAAAATTGTTAATAAATGAGTATTAATAAATATTAGTATGAAAGAAAAAAAGGTCGATTTTACAGCAACTGTTTAATTTAAAATTTAATTTTGTAATATCGACCCTTATTAATATTAGTATGAAATTTAATAGGTTAAAGTCAGCATATTTAAAAATATAAAATTATAACTTTTTAACTTACCTGATGAAGCATATTCACCTGGATGTACCAAACCCCCTATAATAGAAATTGAAAATAGTAAGATGTAAAAATTTAAACAATAAACTACAATATTAAAGTAGTGGAAATTTACCTGTAAAATCATTTGCCTCTTCTTCACCATCAACGTCCTAAAATTCAACATATAATAATAATTAAAAATATATTTATATATCTTACTTGAAAACTAAGTTCTTGATAAAGTGTATTACCACTTCGTTGTTCTTTTTTGGTTTGGATTCGACTATTGTTATTTACAACTGGTGGTTGTGGACTAATAGGAGAAGTAACTACACTTTTGTTTTCTAAATTTAAGGAGTCAGTCTCCTGACTTCTTTCAACTTTGGTAACTGTGCCTTTTGGAATATTATCAAATTCACTATGCAAACTGAAATAAACAAAATATTTAATTTTGGTCTGCTGTTATATTAGTACATTAATCATTTCAGTTAAAAAAAATTAAAACACTGACATTGTTACACTGTGTTTCCTAAGCTGATTTATTAAAATTATCATAACATTGTTAGAGGTTGTCCATATAGTAAGTCACACGTTTAGGGAGAAAGACTTTGTGACATCATGTGCTATAAAATGATAATATGTTTCACATATGGGAAGGGGGGTGTATTCTTTAAAAAGGTGTGATGTACTTTATGGATTTTCATTTTTTGATACGTCCTTGTTTTTATTATTTTATTTATATAATTTGCCTTGCTGATGCCAAAATTCAAGATATAATGGTTTTTTAAAGGTTAAAGACTTTAAAGTTATCATCCATAAAATTTCCATTTGAATTAAGTTTTGTGATATATGTGCCAACGCAGATTTTATTCAAAATATCGTGTTCCCTGATGAATCTACGTTTCCAATACATGGTAAACATAATTCTTTTACACTTATTGGTCCACTGAAAATTAGTTAAACCTTCAAACGCAATATCCCGAAAAATCGAATGTTTGGTCCTAAATCGAAATGTTGATAACGTTTGGTTTCTGTCACTAATTATAATTATTTAGAGACAATATTACTTAAAGAATAATATTAAATTAAAGTACAATTTGCTAGCCAGCAAGATCACTGAATTTCTCTCCTAAGGATTTTTTTGTGGGTATAATATACCCAGTATATAAAAACCAGAGTATACGGACATACAAAAGTTAATAGTTTAAATTAAACTAAATAAAATAATTTATCTTTAAGCTTTATTATTGTTAACACTCACTAACAAAGTATTTGATTATCTCCTAGGCTGTAAAAAATAATTTAGACCAATTAGGTAAAGTTTTTTTACATCCTAGTCTGTAAAAAAACCAATGAAAGGGCCAATAAAAAATTCGATAAATGCTGTCATTCCGCTGAGACGTGTCTTTTTGTGCTTTACTTAATTGAGCTCAGCGTCAGGACTCATTTCCCAGCCTTATGACATAATTATCTATTTTTTTTTGGAATTAAATCTTTTAGTTATTATATATATTTTTATTTTTAATTGTTTAAATAAAACAATAATTAATAAACGTTAATACACTAAATAAAATATTAATCGCTATGGGTACGCCTATTATCTTTCGTTGTATTCCTATACACTCCAATTGCACAGAAATACTAACTCGCCAAGCGCCCGAACAATGCAGCTCTCTCTCAAATCCTAATGTTGTCAAACGGTCGTATAATTAGCCGTTTGTGCCATAATTATGATTTATAAAATATGTAATAATTTGTAAAAATATAAACATTTTGTTGGAGTGAAAATAAAAATAAAATGTATAAAAACGTAATCCTGTTATTGGGCCCTGGGCCTGTTGGATACGAATAAATAAATAAATAAATATATATATATATATATATATATATATATATATTTTAACTTACTTTCTAAGATATATATTAGTTTTACTAAAATATATAATATTTTAACTAAATAATATATATTTAAAACAGTAATACTAATAATATAAACCCAATAATAATAATATAAACTTAGCTTACAAGACGTAACGCCAGGAGGCGCTGGCAGCTTTATTTAACTTAGCAACGCCGCCTTTCTTTTATTTCATGTGGAAATTACTTTGGTATAAATTAAATAACTTTTTGCCGCACTTTGGCTTTTTGTTATTTATTATATGTTTAACTGGATGTTTATTGTCGTGACTCTCTTTTTGAAACAACAATTTTTTATTCCTTAATTCTGTGCCACGCAAAACTTTCGAAACTATGTCGTCAAGATGGTTCCATTACTGCGGTGAAATGCTATTTGAAATGACCTATTAATCTGTTAGATTTTAATTTAAACTTATACTCAAGTGCTTTATTACGTACCAGAGGTATTATTTTTAATGTATCTTCTAGTTTTATTTAATTTACACCACAGTAATTCCCACATGAAATTACAGAAAGGCTGCGTTGCCAAGTTAAATAAAGCTGCCAGTGCCTCCTGGCGTTACGTATTGTAAGCTGAGTTTATATTATTAGTATTGAGTTTATAATATTAGTATTACTGTTTTTAAATATATATTATTTAATTAAAATATGATATAATTTAGTAACTAATATATATCTAAGAAATTAAGTTAAAATATATATATTTTAAACAAAATATTTATATTTTTACAAATTATTCTGTATTTTATAAATCATAATTATGGCACAAACGGCGCCTCATACGGTCGTCCCATTTAGAGGGGGAATATAAAAGACCTGCATATTTTGTAAAATTTAAATAAAAAAATTTTCATTATAATATTTAAACTAGATACTATATAGTATAAAGTATAACTAAATTATAATCATTTTAATCTTGTTGTAAACATAGTTTGTTTTTATGTATTTACATACTTTATAATTCAAATATCACGCATTTAAAATTAATTATAAAGATAGTAAGGTCACAAAGTTAACTATAAAAGAAATTAATGAAGGCTAATTATAAACTAAAACTTAAAACAAATTATCACAGTACAAATGCAAAAGTAATGCTTACCTTGGAGAAGAATGAGTACTACTAATAGGAGAAGAAGGTACGCTATCTACATTTTCGGCATTTTCCAAGGAGGCAAAGCCGAAAGAAATTGGGCCGGAACTACGGCCAATGTTAATTCGGTTTGAATTAAGTCTGCTTACATCTGATCTTTCGTTGGCCATTTGCTGGCCAGAATGCAACAGTTTAGTTCTTTCCATGTAATCCACATGCGTTTTAAAAAGTTCCGTGTACCGCTCGTGCAATTTGCCATATTCTTTTTTTAATTCGCCCTCTCTTTCTTCCAAACGGCCTGCATGTTCCATGGAGTTCTTGTGTTTTAATTCTAACATTCGTACAATACTTTCCAAAGCTTCGAGACGGGACACAAGTTCTTTTCTTTCTCCTGAAATAAAGAAAAACAATAAAATAACTACACTTAAATAAAAAACGCTTATCTCATAGAAAAAATTATTAAAGTTATACTTCTTTTGACGCGTTGAGAAAAAAATTTGGCGGAAGTGAGGTCACAGCTTTTTTTTTTTTTTTTATTGACTTTTAATCTTTCCGATTATTTAGCCAGCTCATGATTATAAATTTTTTTGATTCTTAAAAACAACCACAACACCCAAGGCTGTGACCGGGAATCGAACCCGGTACCGTGGCGCAGATTGATTACCGCTCTGTAGCTTTAACGCACTGCGCCATCCTCGGCCCCGAGAGGTCACAGCTTACACCGTCTAACGGAAAATATTAAAGGCTTTTAAACGCCCATGAGTATCAGGAGAGCTTGAAGTCGCAAAGGTTACGTCGTTTGTTTTGCAACAACCGCATTATCAAAAATAGGTTCTAAATGGAGCATGAAGTCAGAGGTTACTATTAAAGCGACGCGTCACTGAAAATCCAATACGGTGGCCGCTGTAAGATGTATTGCCGATTTCTTCACAACCTCCTTGACTTGGAAATCAAATTAAAGGTTTTTACAAGTAAAAAAATTTAAAAAAATTATGTTTGACATAAATTATTAAAAAGTAACCAAAAAGTAACTAATCAATAACTAGTTAGTAATTAGTCAGTCACTAATCAGTAACTGAGAAATGTTTATATTATTTTTTAACAGAAAATAAAATAATTAATGATATAATAACAAAACAATTTTAACAATTGGTCTAAAATCTAAAGCGACTATGAAACGCTCTGGAACGAAACGTTACGGAAATAAGCCGAGTCGTAACCTTTATCTATTGCAAATTGATAGATATTAATAAATAATTTGAGCCTAGTTTTTTTTAATCACAAACCACAATTTAAACAAAAATTACTGTTTAAAATTTAGCTGTTTTGCTTAATTATTATCAAATATTTATTATTCTACATTTACCTTCAGATTGCAGCTATAGCTAAAATTATCAAACAATCAAAAGACTTTTTTCTTCATAGTAACAATTTTATTGAATACCTATACCTAAGTGAAAACGTAAATGCCATACATCCAATTTTATCAATAAAATTGTTACTATAAAGAAAAAAGTCTTTTGATTGTTTGATAATTTTAAAATAGTATTGGCATTGTTTTTAAAGGTTTAGATCCGTAAATACAATAGTGTTAGTCATTCACGTGTTTTTAGTGCATTTTGCGAATTAACCGTCACAAGAAATTAATTTATTATGATATGATTTATTAAAAAAAAATATTTCTGAAATGTCACATTTTAAGAGGATGTTAACCGTTAATAGATTTTTTAGATTGTGAATTCACCACGAAATCTGGAAGTACAATAGATGCAGTGTTTGTTAGATATTTAGACAGATTACAATAAAAAATGTTTATTTCATACTTTAGTTATCATAGTTAGCCAATTGTTTCGTGAATCTGACGAAAGTAGAGGATAATAATTAATTCAAATTAATTATTCAATAAATGATGTAAGTTTATTTATGGCACACCGTTTCACTTTTTAATTGTAAATGATTTAAATGTAAAAAAAACGTTCTTTTTAATTATGAAATATATATTTTATTATGTCAGACATAACAATAATTAAATAAAATTATGTCAAGCATAAATTTAATGAAAACCGCTGAAACAAATAGCGAATTAATATAATGTCTAGGCATTACCTTATTTTTTATGATACATTTTAATTTGGTACGCATTTTTTGTAAAATATAAATATTTTACCCAAGGAATATTTTTAAACATTTTACATATTATTTTGTGAGTTGAATTTATATTTGGTCCACTTTTATTTTGCATGAGGTTCTTTATTTTTTTAATTTAAAATTTATACTAAAATTATTGTAAGACTAAAAACATTGTTAAAACTTTTTTAACCATTTCATTTTATTGTTTTATTTTTTAAGTTGCAATTTCCAATTTATAAGATGACAATATCAATCAATTTTATGTGTATGTATACTAGGGTGTCCGTTATTTGGGCGATGTGCGAATTTTTTTGCTCGCACCCCCCAAAAAGTTGTAGTTTGGGAAAAAAAAATTTTTGGTAATTTTTTTAGATTTTTATTTTTTAATTAACCCGTGCCGCAAGAGGGTTAAAGATTTAATTATTGTTAAAATATGATTAAATTTTGCCTTTCACTATAGGCTTACCACTCCACGATTTTTCAATGAAAAAAGTCTGTCGAGTGGTTTTCTTATAGTTCAAACACCGCTGAACCCGAATCTGAAATTCGTTTTTTTTTTCATTAATCGTTTTTTTAGAATAGCCTGTGTCGGGAGTAGGTAAAATCGCAAATCGGATGAAAAATGGGATTAGGCTCTTTTCACATTCAAAGTCCTGTAACGTCGCCAGTTTTCAATAAAAAAATCTGAAAATTGGTATACTTATGGTTTTGACATCGCTGAACTCGAATCTGACATTTTCATTGATGACAGCTGTCAAAATAGCTGTCAAAAATCCCAAAAACGATTTTTTATTAAAAATGCCCATTTGCCCCTGTAAAATTATGTTTGGAACTTGAAATTTGACAGTTCAATCATTTGTACATTTTATTGAGTGATTTGGATTTCGGTTTTATGAAAATAAATAATTCAAAGTGCATCAAATTCAGATTCAGCGCATGAAATAACCATAAAATGGGCATTTTTAATAAAAAACCGTTTTTTTGGGATTTTTGACAGCTATTTTGACAGCTGTCATCAATGAAAATGTCAGATTCGAGTTCAGCGATGTCAAAACCATAAGTATACCAATTTTCAGATTTTTTTATTGAAAACTGGCGACGTTACAGGACTTTGAATGTGAAAAGAGCCTAATCCCATTTTTCATCCGATTTGCGATTTTACCTACTCCCGACACAGGCTATTCTAAAAAAACGATTAATGAAAAAAAAACGAATTTCAGATTCGGGTTCAGCGGTGTTTGAACTATAAGAAAACCACTCGACAGACTTTTTTCATTGAAAAATCGTGGAGTGGTAAGCCTATAGTGAAAGGCAAAATTTAATCATATTTTAACAATAATTAAATCTTTAACCCTCTTGCGGCACGGGTTAATTAAAAAATAAAAATCTAAAAAAATTACCAAAAATTTTTTTTCCCAAACTACAACTTTTTGGGGGGTGCGAGCAAAAAAATTCGCACATCGCCCAAATAACGGACACCCTAGTATACATACACATAAAATTGATTGATATTGTCATCTTATAAATTGGAAATTGCAACTTAAAAAATAACACTAACACCCTAATGTATACTAGACTGGGCCAAAAAAATTGACTATTTTTTTTTTGAAAAATATATCGAAAATGTCATTCAGAATGACAAAAAAATAATTTCGTGAAAATTTGAGCCCTTAATATTAATTTTAAGAGGTCTATCATCGCTATTTTTTATTTTTAGTCATAATTTGATGTTTTACGTTAGAACTGTCAAAACATTGAAGTGAAAAAAATTTCTTTTCACTTATTTTGATATAAAATTAAATTCTCTACAAAAAAGGTCTGATTGAAAATTTTTGTCAGACGAGCCGTTTCCGAGTAATTGAGCTTAATAAATCGATGTATTTTTTCGATTTGCCCTTTTAACTTTGAAATTTTGTAACTAATGAACCAATGAATATTTAAGAAAGCTCACGTCGGATTCTTAAAGGAAATTTAATGTTCTACAAAAAAGGTCTTTTAACATTTTTGCCTAAATTTAATTCTTCAAAAGTTATTCACGATTAAAATCGAAGAAAATCTTAAATTTTCAATTTTTTCTTCGTGAATAACTTTTGAAGAATTAAATTTAGGCAAAAATGTTAAGAGACCTTTTTTGTAGAACATTAAATTTCCTTTAAGAATCCGACGTGAGCTTTTTTAAATATTCATTGATTCATTAGTTACAAAATTTCAAAGTAAAAAGGGCAAATCGAAAAAACACATCGATTTATTAAGCTCAATTACTCGGAAACGGCTCGTCTGACGAAAATTTTCAATCAACCTTTTTTGTAGAGAATTTAATTTTATATAAAAATAAGTGAAAAGGAATTTTTTTCACTTCAATGTTTTGACAGTTCTAACGTAAAACATCAAATTATGACTAAAAATCAAAAATAGCGATGATAGACCTCTTAAAATTAATATTAAGGGCTCAAATTTTCACCAAAATTTTTTTTTGTCATTCCGAATAACATTCTCGATATATTTTTCAAAAAAAAAAAATAGTCAATTTTTTTGGCCCAGTCTAATGTATACGTAGGTACCGGATGGTCTACTACGCGCAGTAACAGGTGGTTGTATCTATGCGCAGTAGGTACCAGATGGTGGTATCTTTTAATGCGCAGTAGCAACCAAATGGTTGGATCAATGTGCAATAGTTTCTGGATGAATGTATTTATGCGCAGTAGTTCCCACATAATTATATCTATACGTGGTAGGTGCAGGTGATTGTATGCGCAGTACTTACCTATTCACAGTAGTTTTTAGAGGATTATATGTATATTAAAGACAGAAACCGGACAAAAACGAGACAGAAATGGAACAAGGGCGGGGAAAAAACGGGACAGGAATGACATGGGAACGGAAAAGAAACAACCAAGCGAGCGAAGCCGCGATTTTACAGCTGGTATTAAAATAAGTTTTTGTCCCGTTCCTGTCCCCTTGGCATCAGCCTAATATGTTTAATCAGCGCATAGGTTCGGTCATCTGGTACCTACTGCGCATAGGTTCGGTCATCTGGTACCTACTGCGCATAGGTGCGATCATCTGATACCTATTTCGCATACATACAATTATCTGGTACCTACTGGGCATAGATACAATCATATGGTACCCACTGCACATCTAAAAACTACTGCGCATAGAAATGGTCATCTGATACCTAATGCGCATAGATACAGTCATCTGGTACCGAGTTTGACGGTTTCATAATATTTAAGTATACTTGTACAACAAATTTTTAAATGTACTTTATTTATGAAAAAAAAATAAACTTAAAAAAAAAAAAGTGTAAAATATAACTTTTTGTAAAATAATTCAAAATTTTTGGAATAAATAATTAACTAGTTTACAAATTTAGAGGTATTTCAACAATACCCAGCACATATCCAATATACAGGATGTCTGAAAAATGGCCACTGGTAACACATCAGTCATTACATTTTTTTTGAGCTAGGCAATAATATTTAAAAAACGTGACAACATCTAATAGCATCTGTTATGGAAACAAACCAAGTAAAAGATATGAGGTTGACAGTATTATCTTGAGTATTACCAAGTGAATTTTGGGTGTTTGTTATAATTTCTTAAAAATAACAAATACAAAATCATGATTACCTAGGTAAAATAGCTGCTGTAATTATCAAATTTTAACTTTCTATTCTCCTTTCATAAAACATGACAAATGACAAAAATAACAAACTCAGAAGTTCACTTTTGTGTTTTTTTATATTTGAAAATGCAAAAAATATCAACAATAAATAAATAAAACCTGTGGTATTTGGTTTAAAAAAATATTTCCATAATAAAAAGCTTTATCATAATTACTAAATACCCCTTTCAGCACGGCACTATTTTCACTTGTTTTGCCGTGTGGACGGATGGACAGATATATATCTGCCATCTAGTATTTGCTTTAAAATAAATAAATGTTTGACGTAAATTGCATAAATATTTATTAAAGTGAAACCAAATAAACAAATAATGCAGTATGCCCAAAAAAACAACTTTAATTAAAATTGCTTTTGTGAAGGGCCTGCCTGCTCCTGCCGACAATGTAAACGATACTAGTCACTAGTCCTTTTACTGAATTTGCCATCCCGACGGCTGTCGTATATTTCCGCCATCGGCAGATATATCGATCGTTCGTTGGTATGGCACGGATAAGTGGACACAATTATTCGATCAGCCGTCTGTAGGGCAAATTGATTTTTAAAAGTTGTCCGAAATTAGTCCATGGGGCATGAATAACTTAATATATCTGACAACCATCTGTGGTTTTTAATCGACATCAACCCAGCTGGATCCATCAATTTATAATTTTTTTAAAGATTTAAAGAAATATTAAAGCATTTTTTTTAATACTTAAAAAACCCGAAAAAACCTAATATTTTTATTTCATAAAAAAACCTAAAATAGGTACCAATTTATAGAAAATAAAAATAAATGAAAATGAAAATTATTTGCGGGTCCGCAGTGCTGGATCCAGCAGGCTGAAAAATGTGCTGGATCCAGTTGGATATACGAAATAAAATAATTATATTTTAACCATTAATAAGTAATTATAAATATAAAATGTTGTGCAATTTATAAAATATGTTCCATAAGTACCTATAGGCCACCAACATGTTTTGATTAAATTGAAATAAAATGTCAATTTTTCTTATCTATTTTAAGTTTCAAGCTTAATTAAGGAGTATAACTTAATTAAATTTATATTTATATAAATTAAATTTGCTTACAAAATATGTATATAAAACACCTTTTGAGTAATACTTTGCTATATTAATTATTATGTGTAACCAAACCATTGTTTATTATTATTTAGAATTAAAATGAATTTCTTGGAATGTATTAGCAATGTTAGCCACTTGTTCCAACAAAAATTAGGAATTAGTCAACAGCAATTAAGCAATTTTTAAGAAATAATTTGAATTACATTTAAGACATCTGGCTAATTCATTTTTTTTTTTAAGATAATTATTTGTCACTTTTTATCTTGTGTTTTTTGTACCATAATTTATCCATTTAGAAAGGAAAATTAACTTTCATTAAGTATTATCATGATAAATATGAGTTATTTAAAGGTAACTTACCTTCAGCAGCATCCTCATATTCCAATAATTTTTGTTCAGAAGCTTTCCGAGCACACTTTTCTCTTTCATACTGTGTGACCAGCTGCTCATTATCCTCTCGTAGTAATTCCAATTCAACATCATGTTCCTAAGAATTTAAAATTATAAACCATGAAACAAAAACAATGTATGACATTACCTGATTTTGTTGGTAAGAGGCATCCAGACATTCCAGCACATTGACCAGCAAAGGCATAAGTGTTTTGACAACATCTTCATCATACCTTGCTATCATTCGTTCAAATTCTTGATAGATGCTACCTGCCAAGGATTGAACCTTTTCAGACATTACTACATGAGAATCTTCGTGTGTTCCATAGATGGTTTCTCCACCGAGGTGGCCACCAGTATCTTCTAAATCCATTTTTAACTTAAAAACCTACTTTGACAAGTCTAATTGAAAATTCATAGTTTCACTGATTTAAATTTTTTATGGGTATTGTATCGACGATATGTCGTTCTATTAATTCATGATATTATAATGACTTCCAAAAGGTTACTTTAAATTGTGATTTCTTGTTACACCCACTGTTTTTGACAAATCCGTCAGATTTCATCTGTCCACAGAACTTTTTCACCCATTTTTGCTTTGTTGCCAAATTTTATTGCGCAGTAGAATCGGCGCTCACCTTTGTGTTTGTTTTTTTCTTAAATTGGAAAAATAAACTTACAATTTAAAACAATTAAATATATTGAATTACATAAGCTAATTAACTTTTTATAATAAATGTATATAAATTTTTAACAAAATTAAAATTAAATAATTAAATGAAATAAAGTGGTATTTTGAAACTACTTACTTACTTACTTAAACCGAAGGTCTTTTATAAGTTTAATTTAAAAGTTGCTAACATGTTACATTCGTTTTTCGCAAAAAAAAGGTTTTTTTCAGATTTTTTTCAAAAAGTTATTAGGGTATTTTAGTTTTTAAAAAATTGTAATTGGTATCATTTTCCGGAACTCAATAATTAAACGCATGCGCAAATCCTGTTTGTGTTTATGACGTTTGTTGTATGCTTATGATTTGTAAGCGTCGCGACTAAATTAAAGAAAAAAGTTATTGTTATAGCTGTTTTAAAGTTACTAATCAAAGTTACTAGTTATACAATATCCTTCGGGATGGGGGACGTAAAATCGTTCCTTCACCAATTTTGCCAAAAAAATCAGAAAGAACCGGTGTTTGAAGTGAGGCCTACCGGTAATAATTTTAAGTAATAGGTACACATGATTTTTTTCTACTTTATAATATTTGTAGGTCCTAAACACCGCCAAAGATTTTTATGTGAAGTAAGAATTGATGGGCATAATTATGTAGGAGCGGGGAATTCAACAAATAAAAAAGATGCACAAATGAATGCAGCCAAAGATTTTGTATCATTCCTTGTTCGCCAGGGTATAGTTAATCAAAATGAAGTGCCAGTTGATTTAAATGTGCCTGCACCAGCTACTGGCCCACCACCTTCAGGTAAGATACATCATAGAAAAAGAATATAAGAAGGGCGACCACTGTGTTAAACTTAAGAAACACAAACGTCATACCTTACTCCTGCCAATTAGGGCCGTACTCCAAATATTTTATTAACTTTTATAATACAGGGCCGGCTTTATCTATTTTGTATATATTAATAATTATAATATTAATTTACTTAAATTTGACCAATAAAATAAAATAGTTGCAAAGATTTATTTATTTTAAAAAGTAAATGGTTATAATACACTAATTTTAACAATAAAATAAATTAAAGAATATACAAACAGTGCATCTGTATTTTGAATGGGTTCAGAAGTGAAAGAAGGTATAAAACTTCCCTCCTGCATCGGTTTTGGCCCTAAAAAAACATACATGTATTAAAAAAATTTTGATGTCCATTAATGCATTACATTTTTTAACAATAGTAAAAATTTCAATAACTTCTTCCACCAGGGACATCAGTACGCTGAAAATTACTTTCAAACAACAATAGCCCCTATTAAAGCAAATGTCCCAATATTATTAAGTACCTAGTATTGGTTTTTGCAAAAAAAAACAAAAAGTAAATATGGCAACGTTGCTTGGGAGGCGCTTGTTGCGCATATTCCTATATGAGTTTCACCCCCCTGAGACACATCTTAATAAAAACCAGTGGTTCCTAAAAATTTTTTTATTTGGAAGTGTCCTTTTTGATATCATGAAATGTTTACACCCGCTGATAATTTAGACAAGAACTTTACTTCAATAACATTTATATTCAATTTTCCATTTGTATACCATAATTTTTTATTTTCTTAAAATTTTAACAAAGAAAAATTAATATAGATCTCATGTTACGACATTTTCTCACTCATCCATTACTAAACTTGCTCCTTTGTTGCTTATTTTGTAAATTGTCCTTGTGCAAAAAAATGACTGCTTATGACATTAGTTCTTTAATATACTATTTTCTACGCCTGCCTTTAAAACGCCCTTTAATCTTACATGTTTTTTGACACAAATTTAAATACTCATTGACAAGCTGTGACTTCATGGAGTTTTAATTATGGTCTGAAGTAAGCAACAGGTTTTTAGTCACGGACTGAAATATAGTTTAAGTTAGTTGACAGTTATTAAATGTCATACAATTGTCAACATAAACTGCTCTTGTGAAATAATTTTCACCGGATGAGGAAATAAACACTGGTGGCGTCATTTCTGTGTTTATTAACAACTTTTAGACTGATTCAACCTCACTTTTTCCCAATGATATTATTTTTCTATGGTATTTTTTGTAAACGTAGAAATAGTATAGTGGAATTGCATATTTTGCTTCAAACTGGCCTTTGGCTCGTGTGACAAACTTTTCAGTTGGGTGGAATATGCCGTGTTCCAAACTTGTTTCAGAATAAACTATTTATTCACTTTCACTGTAAAAACTGCCATTTTGAAAGCTGCTAAAACAGATATTTTTGTATAGATGTCGCTCGATACAAATATTTAAATAAAACTTTTCTGGGCCCTCATGATATTTGACTATTATTTGATATATATATGGTCACAAAAACATCATTTGCATAAAAAAGTTAACATATTAACTTTTTTATGCAAATGATGTTTTTGTGACCAGGATCAGTTTTGAATTAGCAGTAGCAGTGTTGATAAATGTTTACTTTAGTACATTTTGTCATTTTTATGTAAATATTGTTGTATCTTTTATTAATAAAGTATAGCATAACACATAAATGACGTTTAATATACAGGGTGTTTCACGTACGTAGTCCGTTAAAAGTTTCTAGGGAATTGCGAAAGACATCGATTTAAAATTTTAATAGCGTAAATTATTCGATTTAGACTTTTTTCCTAAATTATTTTAAACAAAATAATACTTCCTGTTTTACCGAAAATGTTATTTTAAACAGGGCACCTCATATATTTTTACATTTTTAAATTCTACATAAAATTCTGAAAATGGCTATACCATATACTATACCTAACGTCAATAGTTTTTGAGTTATTAATTTTTCAATTAAATATTTTAATTAATTTTATCTACGCCAGTGAGATAAGAACTTCTTATCCCACTCATTTTGAGTGAGATAAGAAGTTCATTAACGCAAGCGTTTTTCTCTGCTTTTAACCAATCAAATAAAAAAGTCAAAATAACCCTAAATTAAGTCTTAGACAAAAATAATTACCGTTTATTTTTTCATTTAGAGGCGTAGATAAAAATTTGTACAATATACGTGTGATAACGCTTTATTAACGTACTTTTGCGATTGCAAATTTCGCATGCGTACGTTAATAAAGCTCTTATCCCACTTATATCGTAAATAACTATTAAACAATGACAGATTAAGTGGTAACCATGGATACTGTCACATTAACCCACATGTAGAATTTCCCAGGTTTGTTGAAACAAAATAGTATTGAAAATAGTAGAAATTGTTAAATGTCTCTGAAATTTTAACTTTAGGAAACAGTTATTATATATATATTATTATTATAATACCAATCGAAAGATTTTTTAATTTTCTATTTGATTATGTTTAAACATACAGGTTTTACATTTATAATAAAAACGTTATTATTGTTTGAAGTTTACCTAATTTCACGTGGTTTTTCTCAAGCTGTTTGTTGAAAAACCTTTAAAAAATTAAATTATTTAAACAATGTTTAAATATTCCAAAAATTCCAACCCCATGTCAGCAAACCTAATAACAACAAAATTAGAGGCTATTTTTGATTGACGTGCATTTAGCAAAATTTTAACAAAAAAAATTAATATCTTATAAAACTGGATAAAAGAATATAGTATTATGCCCTTTGAAATCCTAACTTATAAATGATGTCTCTCATAGAAACATAATTTGCATGTAGAAGTTTATAAGTATATCAAATTATAGTTAATTATCAGTACTTGATATACTCAAAATTATAAAACAACGTTGCTTCTTCGACTTTTTAACCCCAGCGCCCCCTGAATGTTAAAATCTAAAAAAAAATACGTGGATGTATTGCAATTAATAAGGTCTACATTTTATCAAATCAATAGGTTTTTAAATAAAAATATTATTACAAAATACTTAAGGCCTGAAAACCACAGCGAACAATGTAAGAAATTTTTTTTTAATGCACGATTTAGATGTAGAAACAAGGTTAAAAAAATATTCAATTCTGGCATCACTTGCAAACAAATGTCCAAAATTTGTTCGGTTTTTACGCGAAACCATAGTTAATGGCTTAGCCAAACAAAGTATTAAAAATGCAAGTTGTGATGATGATGATTTTAATTTGTTGAGTGATTTAAAGTCATTACTTGATATTGAATCTCCTGATGAGTTACATTAAAAGGAAATACAAGAAAAAAAATCATCTAACAATGATCTGTGAGTTGTCTTTCAATATTGCTGTTGATGTAGAAATAACTTGTTGGTAAATATAATTGCAGGTTTATACAACTTCATATCATTAATTTATATCATAATTCACAATTTAGTGCATAAGCATAAAACACATCCAATCATTTCACAAAATTTACACACACACTGTTCAAATTTCACACATTCTATGGAATTCCACACAGAAAAATGTAAACAAACTTTGGTTTACTTTTGCTATCGGGGAATGGGGCGGCCGATCATATTCGCCCGGGGCGCAAAATTCTTTGCTTTGGATTTTACATTATAGTAGATAAAAACTATTTAGAAAAAAAATTATTGGCGCGTTAAAAATTGGTAGAATTTAGTGGTATAACATTTTTGTTGCTTAAAGTTCATTTAAAATTGAAACATATCATATTTTAGAGTCATTTGGCAATAATGGAAACAATTCTGGGCCACAACATAGAGTGTTTAAAGAGGGAGTTGATCCAACAAACTTTGGTGAAGCCTATCGTCCAGTTGGAAATCGGAACAATTTCCAGGATAATAACTGGCATTACATGGACAGAGCTCAAGAACAGAAAAGAATGGAAGAAGCTGAAGATTTGGATGTGAATGCACAAATTCATGGAAATTGGACAGTTGAAAATGCCAAGTCCAAGTTGCATCAGTTCATGCAAAGTAACAAAATCCATGCTGATTATAAATATAGTCAAGTTGGGCCTGATCACACAAGGTTTGTTCAACACATTTATTTATATATATTATATTATTTTTTAATCCCATCGATAACAGCTAAATGCAGTATAAATGAGTTGTCCTGTTTTCCAAATTAAGTCTGTTTCATGTTACTCAAAACGATTAAGAATTCTACTTAATTTTTTTAACTTTTAACTCAATTTTTTTATAATTGAACAATTAAAATTAAAACAGTTCATTTATACCAAAATATTTTATTTTCCATAACAATACAGTGAAGAAAATCACTTTTTGTTATGTAAATATTTATTAAATATTATTTAAGTGAAGGTATTTACTCACTTTAATAATATGATACATATTTTAAATTTAAATAGGGTAAAAATAAGAAATATTAATCCAAAAACAAATTTGAAATATGGTTAATTCAAATTTTTAACTAATTAAAAAGTTTGAATTAATAAATGAATATTAAAATTTTAAGGGCGAATTCATGATAAAACAATTACACTTGATCTAGAATTGACCCTAAGAATTTAATAGTATCTGATTCAAACTTTTTACTAATTTTTTTAAAGTTAATTTTGTGTTCAGGTGAAAAAGCGTTAGAATTTACTTTTAATTAAATAATTTAGTAGTAAAGGACAAACTGTTGGTTTGTCCTAAACTATTTTTAAAATTAAAATAAAAGTGAATTATTGCGTTTTTTTCTCTGAACTTGAAATTATAAAGAGAATAAAGGTTAAAATACAAATCTAAGCTGCTTAAAAGCTTGGTTTTTGTGTTTTTATGAACAACTTTAAGATTTTGGATTGATTTTTCTTATTTAGGTCCTATGGTTAGCTAAATATAGTCATACAATATATGTTTCACATATATGTAAGTATAAAATATATGAAATATTTCTATGATATTAACAATAAATTCTTTATAGAACATTTGTTGCTGAAATGAGTTTTTATGTAAAAGCTTTGGGACGAACTATTCATGGCCGTGATACTGGATCAAATAAGCAAACTGCCAGCAAAAGTTGTGCCTTGTCAATTGTAAGGCAACTTTTCCATTTGGGTGTTATTGAACCTTTCTCAGGTACTTATACAATAAAATAATATAAATTGAACTTTAATTTGATTCTATTTGTTTTTAATAGGCACTCTTAAAAAAGAAAAATCAGTAGCAGAAATGAAACCTTTCCAAGTAAAGATTTCTCCAGACCTTCAAAGAAAAGTTGAAGAATGTCTCCATGATTTAAACATAACACCAACTACAATTGGTGCTCAAACTGATCAACCTGTCTCACTATTGAGCACCCATATTTTGGACGATTTTAAGCCTGCTGTCCCGTCTGCTGCGGGAGTCGTTACATGGTCTCCACCACAACCCAATTGGAACCCATGGACTGGATGCAACATTGATGAAGGCCCTTTAGCAAATATTTCCCTGGAACAATTAAGCGAGCAATTGATGGAAGAAGCAAAGTCGAATGCTGCAAATAATACAGGCCTACAAAAAAGTTTGGAGGAAAGGCAAACTTTGCCAGTTTTCTCCATGAAAAGGCAAATTATGGAAATGATTAATGAACATCCAGTGATCATCATCAGAGGTAACACCGGTTGCGGCAAAACTACGCAGGTGTGCCAGTTTATTTTGGAGGATTACATCATGTCCGGCCAGGGAGCCTGGTGTAACATTGCGGTAACGCAGCCCAGAAGAATTTCCGCCGTTTCAGTGTCGGAGAGAATCTCGAACGAAAGATGCGAAGACTTGGGACAGGCCATTGGGTACTCTGTACGTTTTGAGTCAGTCCTACCAAGGCCCTATGCATCCATCATGTTTTGCACAGTGGGAGTTTTGTTAAAGAAATTAGAAAACGGTCTGAGGGGCGTAAGCCACGTCATCGTTGATGAAATTCACGAGAGAGATGTCAACAGTGACTTTATTATGGTAAGTTTTTTATAATATATCTACATGGTAATGTATATAGGTTTGCTTCTTAACTTTTAGACTTAATCAAATAATAGCAATAACGACTTATTCAAATTAAATTTTAAACCTATAATAAAGTTGTTGTGGCGAGAATCCCTAAATCATTAAACCTTAAAATATTCCCACTTATACAAATATAAACAGGAAATTATAATATACCACCAGAAACCCAAGAGTCTCTTTCATAAACGCCCGTCATAAGTGGGGGTTAGTATATTTTGCAAATGAAAAATTGTAATTTCGTGTTAAAGAAAAAATTTAAATTTTTAAAAGCTGACATTATAGTAGTCTCAAAATTTTCTTTCTTTAGCTTTTGCCTTGGGTCATTTATAAGTATGTTGTAAATACTAAATTATTTCTCAGCATCCACATTGTGGACTACTTTAATATGAGTTTCTTGGTTAACTAGTTGCCTATGAAAATTAACCTCATCACTCAATAAGTTCATCCTGTTATGTCTTGAACAAACGGTATTTTACTAAAATAATTTTAGTGTTAAATTTGTATTCAAGGATGATGTGAACACGGCCCATAAAAAAGTTATTTGACGAGATTTCGCGGAATAGTATTGAAAATAGAAAATTACGCGTTTATCGCATGTGTGTTAGGAAATAAATGGTAAAAAATCAAGAGGGTTGTAGGCCACACCAAGACAAGCATTTTTTGTCCTGGGGACATGTGTCCTAAAGGGCTTATTTTTTGCTACATGGCCCTGTATGAGTGGTCCCAAACGCCCAAAAAGCAGGCCAAATGTGACCGAAAATTCTTGAAAATCTTTAGTTTTAGGTTTTTCGGGGCAAAAAATAAAAATTTTAGGTCATTATTACAAAAACAAAATGGCTTACTTAAAATGGACAACTGAATTCGTTAAAACTATAGACAGTAGATGCTCGAGCGCTTTGCAAGGTAATAAATGCTCGAGAATTTATAAACGCTGAAAAATAAATTTAAATTTTATACAAAAAATATTTTATTGAAAAGCTTTTTTACTTCTGGTGGGTATTGTTCAAATCTTCTTAGGTGTTTTATCATGTGAATACTGTGTGCCAAGTACTTCATATTGCAGAAATTGCAAGTACCATATTTTTTTTATTTTATTGAAAAAAATCCTCCAAACCTTAGTTTTATTTCTAACAATTTTAGAATTGGATGCCTAGGCAAACAAAAGGATTGGGTGTCCTGGTTTGTTCTGATGTAAACGACGTAGTTATTTGTTGGCTATTTTATAATCCCGCTTTTTAGTTTTGCGCCAAATTTAAATATCGATAGTGGGGCCATTCCACGCGTGACGGATGGGATAGTTGCCGTGTTTTTATTTACAAAATAATGTTGTTCTATTGTATTGCCAATGTCAAATTTTTATAAATGGTTCTAAACTGGAGCTGTTTAACAAGGTTTTTATTTGGCAAAATTGGGTATCGTGGTTGACTCTTTGATTCCTTAAAAACTAATAATTTAAAGCGTAACGGTCGGGACTTTGCAATAGTCCCGCCCATTACGCTTTAAATTATTAATTTTTAAGGAATTGGACAGTCAATCACGATACCTAATTTTGCCAAATAAAAACCTTGTTAAACAGCTTTTGTTTAGAGCTATTTATAAAAATTTGACATTGGTAATATGGTGGAACAATATTATTTTGTAAATAAAAACACGGCGGCTGTCCTATCCGTTAAGCGTGGAATGGCCCAGTGGTGAAAACAAAAAAATACGGTGTTTTTTCAAAAAATTTGGTTTTTTTTTCAGAAACATTGTTTACCCTTGTTAATAGAGATTATAAGAGAAAAGCAGAACAATTTTAAAACCTTTTAAAATAATCGTCATTTATAATAGAGGTTTTTAAATAAAAACATCAAATAAAACTGGCTTCTAAAATAAACATACATAACTGTGGAGCAAACATGCAAAAACCGATAAATCCATTTTTATATTTTAAGGGAATAGTACCGATTCTTACTAATTTTGGTCTTTTGACACAGCATTTTTAGTAAAAACCAAAACAAAGAGAACCTAACATGAGCAACATCCCCTTTTAATAGTTTTTAAATAGTTGGCCAATATCTCAGAATATGTTAAAATTTTGGTCCATACTCAGAATAATTTAAAATGGATTTATCGGCTTTTGCATGTTTGCTCCACAAGTGTTTGAAAATTAAAACAAAAACTAAAATACTTTTTATTTTTAAGAAAAAAAATAGGTAGCATCTTACATTACCTACCATTCAAAATCAATATAATCAGAATCAACGTCAAATTCTTCTAGCTCTTTCGACGTGTTATTGTCGTGTACAGAAAAGTTTTCAGAAATACCTGACAAAGAACTCTCAGAACTATAATCTAGATTATCTACAACCATGTCAACTGTAGCTGTGGACCACAGCCTGTGGTATCTTTGTTAGGTAGTATTTTATAATTTGAAAAAAAAAACAATGTTTTGTTTTTTTTTCCAGAAAAAAAAAGATGATTTTTAAATTTTTGTTTTTCAAATTGGAAAAAAAAACGTTTTTTACATCACTAAATATCGAGCACTTTGGTAAATGCTCGAGAATTTATTTATAAGCGCTCGAGCATTTATGAACGCTTTTGAAAGTGCTCATCCTTCTATAGTTAAAACTGACAAAAATAGTGATTGTGGGTTTTCTGAGAAGAAAATGTATACAGTGTGACCCATTTGTTTGTAAAATCTTTATTTATTGTGCGATTTTAACCGTGTTTAAAGTGTAGATCTTGATAAACTGTATTTTTGAAGCAAAAAACGCCATATTTTTACAAAATACAAGGCCTACTATATTAGTTTTTAAAAATAAATTTTTAAGAATACATTAAGTAAACAATCACAGGCGTGTTTTAGCAGAATGATTAGAGGTGGGAGAACCATAATGTGCAGCTTAATCAGGCCAATTCACTAACATTAGTTGTTAACGTTAATATTGCACATAAAAATAATATATAAATAAAATATATAAATGTAGGTATAATACCCAACATAAATAGTTTTTTTTTTGGGTATAAAAATATATCAAAATAAATATAATTCCCAAAATCATAACAAAATTAAATAAATTCAATATTGTAACTACAATTAACAATTATTATATTTATAATTTTTTTTTTGTAAAATTGGGCAGAAAGACCACGGTCGATAGCCTGTTGGGAAACCAATAAAGATGTTTATTATTATTATTATTATTAAATAAATATCACATTTTTTTTTGTAGCATATTGAAATTTCTTTAAGAATACAAAATAGTCTATCAGGCTGGTGCGGTTAGAATACGGGTTAGTTTACACTAGGGTTGTGGAATTGACCGGTCAAATTGTTTTTGGTCAATTGACCAAAATAAAATTAAAATAAATATTACTGTGATTTATTTGTACTTAATAAATAGGTAATTAAAACGTTACCAATTTTTTTTTTTATTATAAAAGTTATGTCCATCTTTAGAAACGTTTGTGCGGCTTTAAAAAGTTATGTTTCGCTATTAAAAAAGATATGTCCCGCTTAGGGCAACGCGCCGTCCGGCCTAGCAACCCCTCGACTCGGGGAACCACCAAATTGTAAATGATGTCGATATTGCACGATCGCAAACATTTTGAGATTCACGGGTAATTGTAAATAAAATGCTGCAATAATTAAATATATTTTGACCGGTCAAATACGTAGCGGTCAATTGACCATCCCCAACTCTAGGTTACACCCTAACTAATTTGAAATAAATAAATAAATATGGCTTAATAATTGTTTACTTTCCAAAAATAGATTCAAATAAAACATTTAGTACTTAAGATATTTTTGTATCTTTTTTTAAATAGGTTATAGTTTAGAATATTTTTAATTTCCAGGGGTAGTTTGTTAAACTCAATGGTACCGTTATTTATTGCACTATAATTTCCACTGGTTGATAAATATTGACTCTGATGTATATCATTGTTTTGTCTTGTTAAATGTTGATGAAGGTGATTGTTTATTTGCAGATCTATTTTGGTTTTTGTTTTTTATATTTAATTCTAAAAGTTAACTTTAAAAGTTCTAAAGGTCTTTAGTCATTCTAAATTACTAATACTTAATGTTTTGTACAGTTCATTACTGGGAAAGTATTTGTTTATGTTAAATAACGATTTAAGGCACTTATTTTGAGTTCTTTGCTCGGTTCTTTGTATTTTTTTTAAATCACTAGTACACGCACAACCTTATGTAGTAATCAGATATCGAAACTGAGACTAAGAATGACTGGTAAACCAGCATTTTTGATTTATCACAGATTTCAGCACCGCATCTTTTTAAATATAACGATAACCACTGATTCTAGTGGCTAACGTTAAGAACTTATGTTAGTGAATTGGCCTGAATATTGGAAATTCTATATAAAATGGTAGTGTAAAATGACCTTAATTATATGGTTGACATAGTCACTTTTAGTGTTTTAGTTTTTAAATTAGTTTTAACTTGAGACATTCTTTTTTTAGGGAAAATTGGTGGCCCTAAAAAGGGCCGTTTTTTAAATAGACTTTGTGCTGTTTATACAGATTAATAATCGTTTTAAAAGTTGTTTCTTACAGAGGCACTTGTATAAATTAAAAATCGACGGTTGCAAGGGTTGTTGTTTTTTTTTCGTAACACCTGAGAAAACTGGGGTGGAAACTTTCCATTGACCCACCCTGTATATTTATATTATACTATAATAGTTATAACGTAGTTTAAATGTAAAACCCCTGACATGCCTATTTTTAAATCTTAAATTTAAACAATGATGGTATTAAATGTATTTTTTTTTAATATTTATTATTTATCCTTACAGGTTGTTTTAAGAGACATGATTCACAATTATCCTGACCTGAGAGTTATTCTTATGTCTGCTACCATTGATACAACTCTTTTCTCAAAATACTTCAACAACTGTCCTGTGATCGAAATTCCAGGTAGAGCTTTCCCAGTGAAACAATATTTCCTGGAAGATTGTGTGGAACTTGCTAAATTTGTGCCACCGACCGACACCCGCAAACGTAAAGGCAGCAACAAAAACGACGATGACGATGAACAGGCTTTAGGTGGCGATGAAGGAGATGAAAATTTGAACAAGGTGGTCGGAGATAAGTATTCGATACAAACGAAAAACGCCATGTCCAGGATGAGCGAAAAGGAAGTCAGTTTTGAATTAATGGAGTCTCTATTGTTATACATTAAAGGTCAAGGAGTACCAGGTGCCATCCTAGTGTTTCTTCCCGGTTGGAATCTTATATTTGCTTTAATGAAGCACTTGCAAAATCATCCTACCTTTGGTTCTTCATCATATTTGGTTCTTCCCCTTCATTCACAAATTCCGAGAGAAGAACAGCGCAGAGTGTTCGCGCCTGTTCCACCGCACGTAACCAAAGTCATTTTGGCCACCAACATCGCGGAAACATCCATCACCATTAACGATGTCGTGTTCGTCATCGACAGCTGCAAAGCCAAAATGAAGATGTTCACGTCGCACAACAACATGACCAGCTATGCAACCGTGTGGGCTTCCAGAACCAATTTGGAGCAAAGGAAAGGTCGTGCTGGTCGTGTTAGACCGGGAGTTTGCTTCCACCTTGTGTCTGAAGCCAGATTCAATAAACTTGATGAACACATGACGCCAGAAATGTTCAGAACTCCGCTCCACGAACTCGCTCTAAGCATTAAGCTATTGCGTTTGGGATCCATTGGACACTTTTTGAGCAAAGCAATCGAACCACCGCCATTGGATGCTGTGATCGAAGCTGAAGTATTACTGAGGGAAATGAAATGCCTTGATGCCAACGATGAACTAACGCCGTTGGGACGAATCATAGCCAAACTACCCATTGAACCTAGGTTGGGTAAGATGATGATTTTGGGTTGCATTTTTATGTGCGGTGGACCATTGGCCACTATGGCCGCCAACTCTTCAACATTCCCGGAAATATTCACACTTGATGGCGGACAGAGAAGATTGAGTTTCCATCAACGGGCACTTTCTGGCGATAGGAATTCCGATCACGTTGCTATGTTAACTGCTTTTGAGGTACAAAATTTTGATTAAATTAGTTGGACAAAAATTAATCAGTATTTATTTTAGATGTGGGATCAAGCAAGATCTGGCGGGGAAGATGCAGAACTGAGGTTTTGTGATTACAAAGGCATTAGTATGCCAACCATGAGGGTAACATGGGAAGCCAAACATCAACTGCAACAAATCCTGAACAACGTGGGTTTCCCGGAGGAAACTTTATGCCCAATTCCGATGGAAACTGTCGGGCCCGATCCAAAATTGGACGTCGTTATGGCACTCATGTGTTACGGTCTATACCCGAACGTATGTTTCCACAAAGAAAAAAGAAAAGTATTAACTACCGAAAGTAAATCCGCTTTAATACACAAAACGTCAGTGAACTGTAGCAATATAGAGCAAAATTTTCCGTATCCATTTTTCGTTTTTGGCGAGAAAATACGTACCAGAGCCGTTTCCTGTAAACAGATGTCGATGGTAACGCCACTGCACTTGCTGTTGTTTGGTTCGCGTAAAGTCGATTGGATCGAGGGAGTAGTGCGATTGGATAATTGGATTAATTTGGAAATGGATCCCCAAGTTGCTTCGCAAATTGTTGCTTTGAGACCTGCTTTGGAAAGTTTGGTTATCAGAGCTTCACAAGAACCAGAACAGATATTGGAAATGGGCGAACTTGATTGCAAGGTAAGTTTATGAGAAACAAGAAGTTTTAATAAGTAAAAGTAAGACTTTTGAAAGTCTTACTTTCTCTTAAAAACTCTAAATAAGTCTTATTAAGTCGGAAAAAGTCTGAATAAGACTTATTACGTCGGAAAAAGTCTGAATAAGTCTTAGTAAGTCAGACTAATAGCAAGATTTGGGAGTGTTCTGAAGACTTTTAGCAGATAAATGGTATATATATACCTATAGCGATTAAAATAAATACTCGGAATTATTCAGAGATGTGGTATTTGGTTATTGCAAAAGAAAACACAAAGAAAAGTATTTATAAACACTGTTTTTGTGTTGTTATAAGGCTTATAAAAACACTAAAGCAATGTTTATTATATAGGTAAGCAACGTTTACTTAAATTTTTTACAATAAAACAGTTGTGATTTGTGTACATACAGATCCCTTGTTGATTACATAAGGTATAATAACTATAAGAATACTTCGAAATGCATAGGCATGATTTGTTCGACAGTTAAACTCGTAAAACAAATATGGTTGATCTTTGAGCTGCTTGTGTGTTTGTCAAACACTGTGATGTACAGGACATGTATGTACAGTGTTCCGGATGAATGTAATAAAAGTGCCTGACCAAAAATTACAAAGTACTAAAAAAACGAGTTTTATTTACTAGCGCATTCGCCCTGCTTTGAAAAATAAATTAAAATAATTTAAATGTTATATAAGTCAATAAAAATGTAACAGGATAGAATAAAATAATTGTGCAATATTATTTACTGAAAATTTCTTTTGTTATTATTTTAATCTAAATTTGCAAATTACCCGATTTTACCCGCTTCAAAATTCTACCCGCAAACATGACGAAAGTAGTCGATTTTCGAGTAAAATACTTGTTGTTTTTGGAACAATGGTTAAATGAATATTTACCTATATAAAAAGAAACTATTTATTTAAAACGTACAGTGGCAACAATGAAAGAAAGTTAAGCGCATCGTAGGTATGTAAAAAATTATAATTGTTATAATTATTAGACCTTACATATGTTATTATATATAGTACAGTCATCTTAGTCAAAAAAAGGGATGAACCTCGGAATCTAACGGAATAAGCTGAATTTTTGTGAAAACCTTTATTTTAGCATTGCAAATGTTGTCTCAAAAGTCACATATGCCAACGTGTGAGCGGCCTTAGATATTCAAAGGTCGCAAAAATCAGTTTTTTGAGAATATCTCGTTTTCTCTGCCTCCTATCGTATTTGCACTTATTATAAAAGTTGTAGAGAATAAAATTTTCTACAAATTTTGTAAAAAACATTTTTTTATACGTCGAACCGTTTTTGAGATAGAGGGCGCAGAGTGTGGAGCGCTCAGCCATACGTACCTTTAGCGCAAGGTAAATCGTGAATCCCAATCTATTATACCTCTTTTTTAATTAATTAAATATTAAATTTTACTAAAATAAAAATGAAATACCTTATAAATATATTTATATTTCTTTTAAATCAAATATGTTTTATCTTAATATATATCTTATATTTTAATTTAATTTTAATAAAGGATAATTGGATCAGAGTAGGAAAAAATGTTTTTATTTATATCAATAATATAATTATTATTATTATTATTATTATTAATCTTTATCTTCTTCATCCTCGTCTTCTTCAGGTTGGCCAGAAATTTCAGACTCATTCTCATCATCACTCTCCTATCATTGACAGTAATTGTCATATCTTCAAAAACTTACTTATAACGCGTTTGTACTTCGCAGATTTTATTGCCTCTATTGCTTCATCACCACAAAATAAGCACAATATTTTAAAATCAAACACACCATTCCCTTTTTTAGGAGGTACAGTTGATGACGTTGAAGGTCCAGTCTCTTCAAGGCGACGTTTAGCTGCTGCAATTTTACTAGCGTACAATTTTCGACACTCAATATGAACGTTCACAGAAGTCAAAGTATTTAGGTAGTTTATGTGCCCATCATTTCTCTCAATAATTGCTTCTTTTAAAGTCTTGTAACCTTAATATTTGAATTTAGCGACAATAATACATTTTTATAATATTTAATTATTTATTTTAAACATTGAACGTATGCAACCCAGAACACGTTAATTATCTATTGTTTTATCTGCCTATAAGAATCTAATGTAAATATCTTAAACCTAATGTAAATAATTGAATCATTTGAATTGCCTTTATATAATTAATACATAATCATTATTAAAGTATTCCAAAATTTAAATGAGTACAAGCATTTAATTGATTAAAATGAGTATAAACACTTAATTGATCCATTCACCAAAAGTATAGTTGTTTGTTCGAACTACCTGTTTAAAACTTATTTAAACAATAATATTCATACCATTACTTTTGAATTCGTTTGTCTATGTTTATTAGCTTAATGTAGATTTTTGATACCTTCTCTTGCTAAATAGATGTTTTATTGATACTTTATTCTGTATGTTGTCTAATTATCTTTATTTTTGTTTCCTTGATTTATTTAAATTTATTGCCGCGCTATTTACCAATTGCGTCGATTGGTTTTTTGCTTGATTTTTTTTTGGGCATTCAAAAAATGGTTTCTGGTTGAGTGTGCAAGTATTGTTATTAAATTATTGGATATTGGTTCCATCCTTAGAAATTAAGGGATTTGTTAATAACAAAAGTTTTCTTTAAAAAGTGATTGAGTTAGTGTGGTTGATATTTTTGGAATATTCACTTTTTAAAACGCTCCGGCGGATAATTCACCTCAACAGGAATCAAGCCTGAAAATCTTTACTTTTCCATCTAAAGCCCAAGGAATTCTGGATTTTGTGTTTATACCCTTCGTGAAAGGTATGCCTTATTTTTATTGTTTTTTCTTGTTGTTAATTTTCTTTTCTTTTGAACTTTTTAGGGTTTTAGTTTTCCGTATTAGTTTTAATTTCTAGTGCCTAGCTCCAGCTTCGATTGAGCCACTAATTTCTAGCTGAATGTCATTGTTAAATCATTGAAGTATATTACCATAATATTGTTCGAAATACTATCTGCAAACGCTCGTTGTAATCACGAAGAATCTCTACCGCTGTAGGATCGTGTCCTGCTCTGCTGCAAGCTACTGTCACCGTGGGATCACAAGTAACAAATTGTTTATCTTAATTGTTATTAAATTATTGTTTTGAATAATTACATATATTTTTAAGTTTAAGTTTTAACAAAAATAGATATATTTTCTTTGGCTTTATTATAGCCAAGTTATTTATTGGAATATTACAAAAATTAATTTGCAAATTGAAAAAAAGTAACATTAAAATAAAATCTGTGCGCCAAAGGTAACTGCAGTATACTGACGGTAAATTAGACGTATTATGTTTCTTGGTTTATTTAAGAAATTTATTTAACGAATATCATAACCAATTTAATTTCATCTTTAAACTAATATCTAAATAAATAATCATTTAATTTTCTTTTTAATACTAGCTTGTTTTTTTTAAACCTAAAAGATAAATAAATTGCTGTGAGAGGTAGCTGCAGATAAGTTGTGGTTTAAAATATATTATTTTTATCGATATATTAGATTAAATTAAATTTTCGTAATTTTTATAAATAATTGATAGTAAATTTAAAAATTACGTGGCGCCCTATAACATCTTTTAAATCTATTTATTCAAAATTATCAATTAAAACTTTATTCCATCGTCTATATATCTTTAAAAGAAAAACATTGTCAATAATTAGTGTCTGTTTGTGTATTTTTCTATTTATATTCTAGGTCTGTCTATTAAACTATTTTTTTAAAAAACCACACGCCCATAGCCACCGCCGTAACCTAGCCAGGCCCATGCTTTTTTGATTATTTTCAATTAAAGTGTGTAAGAACCCCTTTTATAACTCTCCTTTGGTTAAGGGTGCAACATCCCTTAAATTTTGGTTATAAATTTTGGCGCCCAACGTGGGGCCATAAAAAGTTTGATACTTTCCCCTCGATTTCACCCCTAAAGGACTTAGAATATATAAAAAAAAATAATTTTTTTTTAGTTTTAAATTTTTTTTTGTTGTTTGTACTTATTTTATTAGAGTGAATAGATTACATTGGTAGATATATACATATTAATTCGGTTTTACTTTTATTTGGATTGCATAATAATAATTTTTTTTATCATGGGTAACAGTAAACTTAAAGTATATCTTTTAAAACAGGACGAACTCCAGTACGAATGTACCGTAAGGGGTTTGAATATAGGTACTGTGGCTGAAATGAAAAAGTCTTTATCATCATTTTTAAAAATTCAAAAAGAAGGTGTTTCTTTTAAGGCTCCAAAACATCCATATACCTTTGCAGAAGACATTGCTGCGATTAAAGCAAAATTAGAGGAAATTGAGTCTGCACTTGATAATATCCCGACGGCTTCAGAGTTTCGAAAGGTTTTTCCCAAATTTGAGTCCAGGTTAGTTCATGTTATAGGGAGGATAGAAAAATCAGTTTCTGTGGAGGATGACGAAGAAAAACAATGTCGCGATATGTTAACTCGCTCAGTATTGCTTATGGACACCCTTAAGGAAAAATGTGAGTTTTCCAAAGATACTGTTGCAGATATTAGTGTTCTTAATGTTGGTACAGACTCTGAAGATTCTGATGTTGAGTTGTTGGAAGTTTCTGATGCTTCTGCTGATCCAAATGTTTCATTGGGACAAAACACAACTTTTCGATATGATAGGCGTTTACAGTTAAGCAAGTGGAATCTTGTATTTTCGGGAGATAAGAAAGGTTTATCGGTTAACGCATTTCTGGAAAGAGCACAAGAGTTGGCTGAAGCCAGAGGTGTGACCGAGGCTGACCTATTTAATGGTTGTGTAGATTTGTTCTCCGGTAAAGCTCTCGTTTATTATCGTGCCATTAAACATTCTATATCAAATTGGAAGTCTTTAGTTAAAAAACTTCGGGAAGAATTTCTTCCCCCCTTTAATAATGAGAAGCTCTTGGAGGAGATTAAAAAGCGAACCATGGGCTCAGATGAGTCTGTAGGCATTTA